AAAGCAAGGTTTCATGTGCAGATTCCATATCCTTACACAGCAGTTTGAAGAGACTACTGTTTGAGGCTCCAGTTTTGATAAAGTTGACTACCTTGATAGCCACGTTCAGGACATCCCTCATTTCAGCAGGTAAAGTTCTGGATACTAAGGATTCACGATGAAGTATGCTGTGTGTACCTACAACAGACGGATTTTTTCTTTCACCATTGTAATGAATCCAGACTGCAGACCAAGCATGGCTGGAGCTCCATCAGTGCACACCCCTACCAGCGAGTCCCACGAAAGTTGGTTTTCCTGAAAGAAGTTTGATACATCATGAAAAATAGCTGCTGCAGTTGTACAACTTTCCATGGGGTGACAGAACAGCATTTCCTCTTTTACACTGTTGCATGACACATACCTCAACAGCCTTAACTGAACAAATGTGAGAGAAGAGGAATTATTGCCACGGACGTGTGCAGAAGACTGGGAGAGAACGGGGCTCACCAGTCACCAACAAGCAGTATACAGGTCCAGGATAGGGTTTCGAGGGATAGGGAGGGGGGTCAATAAGTACAGAAAATGGTAAGCCCTAAGTAAAAAAAAAAAATAGCCTATAGAAAACTAAAGTTATAAGGCGATACTTTTGCATTTTTTCATAAACTTCTCAATATTAGCCCACGCTCTTAAGAGAATAAAAACTAAAATTATAATTAGAGAAATTCCTACTTTTTCCCTAGGGCTTGCCCCCCCCCCCCGTTAAGAACCACTGCCTTAGACATTACAAAGCCAAATATACCATCCATGAAGTACTGTCCGAGCCCTTCATCGTCTACTGTAGGCAGCTCCCCGTTTAAGGTTTATTTATACACAACTCTAAAACTGGCAGCTAAGCCCTAACAGCTCCCGGGCCGCACGTGCATTCCGTAAAAAGGTTAGTAGGTGAGGGCAAGATGTCTTACTATTCACAATCATATTCACCCTGACTGCTGAATTATTACCACTCCGGAGGAATTTATTTACTAGTTTTAAACATTCTTCTTTGCCTACAGACTTGTTAAATGCTGACCATTATCCGTTCTCAAATCAATATCAATGCAACTTTAGCAGCAGTTTAGGGTTTCTATTTATCTTAAGTCACCCAACGTATGAGAGCGAAGGGAACAACAAAATCGTATAGTGACACATACACTTGGGAATATTCATCCCCCAAACCCGCGATTTTGGCACGAAATTCAGGTCCGAAAAGTAGCCAAGAACATTGAATAAACCCAATGTGTGCTTCAGAGCATATTGCTCAGTATAAAGCTGTAACTTAAAAACAAAACACACTTTTTTATTACACATCCACATAAAAAGTATGCCTTATAGAGTCGGCAAATATCCACAAACCCTCCTGTATTAATAAACATCTTGTTTGTTTATGAAACCGCCAAAATAATCGGTTTTCTAAACACAAAAACAGTCACGACCTGGCAGTGTTCAACTAATCAGTATAGTAGGAGTGCCGGCCTCTTGCCAAAGTTAGTAATGCATTTCCGGTTCACTGCTTCCTCCTTTATAACAGGGAAGGGGGGGGGGGTGCGATGGGGAATAAGGAGATATCGTGCGCTCTCATGTTCCTCGCGCCAACACCCGGCCAAGTAATATCAAATGTCTTATAATGGTTCTTACTATAACAATGAATGTACTTTAACGATGCAATATATGCAAACAATCGCTTCAAACTCATATGAACGATACATCTTCACCTGATCTTATTATGAACGACCTTACACAGTAGATTCATTTTCCCCTGATCTTATTATTTATGAACAACCTTACACAGTAGAGCGTACCCATAGAACCATACAATAAGGAGCGTAGCACTACACCTTCCAGTCATACAAGCCGCTGTTAACTTATGGCGATCTATATAACCAACAGATCACCCTGTCTCGGCCGAGATAAATTTCTTTCATTGTAAGTGACAGTGGGACTAGCTTGCCAAGCTAGGTTCACTATACACCACGGGAACACAAGAGTGCGCCAAGCCAACCTGAGTGTTCCAGCGCTGTGGTGCGCAGACCCAGGACGCCAGAACAGGCCCGCTGGTAGCAAGGTCTTCACTTCCGTAGTTTATGGACCTGTGATGGCGCGACTCAACTAAAACATACCACCTCGCACTTTCTAAATTCATCCTAAATCATTAATTATTTGAAAAACTACGGTAAGTTACACCATCACATAACACACCTGACCTTTACAGGTCTATATATCAGATTAACGAGAAGCGAAACAACGGAATAAGTTGCATACGAAATAGCGAGTCTTGGCAACGAGCGCTGTTACTAAGGTCGGGCGGCAGGCGACTCTCCCCTCCTCTATACCTCTTACATAACAACTGGCCCGGCGCTGGTTCCCTTATATTCTTGCCTGCGGCCAGTTACTACCTGTGCAAATACCCGTCTATTCCCTTATATTTTACTTACTAAAATATGTCCAACAATACCCATTCAACAGATCAATTCGTGAGTTATATTCTATTTGTACAGCTGTTCTGATCAATAAGTGTAACGCATAGTAAATCATGAACTACAGTATATTCAACATTCAATTCCCTTGATTTCAAATTCTTACATTTATTTGCACACCTGATGATAAACACCTCAACGTCACCGGGGGAAAACGGGGGTTAGGTTAGATTTCCATTAGGGTGTTTAATCATCAGGTGAAATAAGCTGGGATGCATAATCATCATCCAAGCGCAGACCCAGTACTTTTTCTTTAGTGCAGTATTGTACTCAGGCGTTTTGTATAGTAAAAAGTAATTACTATTGACTTGAGAATATCTCCTTAAATTAAGTTCGCGTGGCTTCAAAATGCCCATGATATTGGTCAGATTAAAAATAAATAAATCTGAGGGTGGAGGGGGGGCGTACTTCCCTCCAGCAGGGTGGGCTCGATGCGCGCCATGATCCCCCATCCACAACTTCTTGGACCCCCCCCCCCCTTTTTTGATATTCCTGGATCCACCCGTCATTATCGTGCAAGGGAAACCAAAAGATAAACTATATAATATATATGAGAGAGAGAACGCTTTTCACTACAAGGTGTGTATAATTATGCCACTAAAAAAAAGCCAGACGCATGTACAAGGACATCCACTTCCACACGACCTTGCTATCGTGAGTTGAAACAATATCGGCAATCCAGAGAGTGAGGCAGGTTTTTAAGCGATCCCGCGAGGTTAGTGTAGTGGCGTCTCATGTCCTCAAGTAGGCTTGGCACACACTCGTAACAATGATAGCAGACAACCATTGATATCTTGAGAAAGTAAATGTATTAACTCTTAGTATCATCTGGAATAGTACACGTAACATGGTGGTAGTAAGAACATATCAGAATGTTACCACGATTACCACTTCATTATTTATTATTTTGTTTTACATTTACATAATATGTACATAAATATACTTTACAATGGAGTTGATGTACATTAATATAATTTGGGAGGGAAGCAATGGGTTGTATTAAGGTGAAACGAGGACAGAAGCTGTCAGTATCTGATATAATGGTTTTGGTGGTACATTAAAAGTAGGAATATAAAGCGGGTATTACAAAAATATTAATACTTAACCAATAGATATTTTTTAAGAGATGATTTAAAGGAAGGGAGCATAGTCTTTGCTCGGATGTGTGGGGGTAAGTTGTTCCACAACTTCACACCATATTTTATAATGGTCTGGGACTGAGAGGAGCGCATGGGGGGTGGTCTTAGTAGCTCTGGGTGTCTTAAGTTGTATCTCTGATTTTTCCGGAACTGGAAATAATTGTCAATCAAATGACTGACAGATTTGTAAACAAAGAGCAGTGAACATTATTGACAATTTTCTGCTCAACATTTTGGTCAACTTACAAGGCTGGGGTTATTAACTTCATATAAACATTACAGCCACAAAGTGATCCCTCTATAATCCTATATTGTAACTCTCCCAAATTAAATCAAAATTCGCTGGTGCGACTTCACCTGCAACTTTAGGGTCACTGTATATGGCTTTGAAACCAATATGGTTGCAATCTAATCACATTTATTAGGTTATTACATAAGCAATGAAGTGCCAAGTGCAGACAAAGCCCTCTATTGTATCCACTCCACCTCCTGTGAGAAGTTTACCTGCATAGCGAAGGTATGGCTATTGGGGGAGGCTGGAGGCCATTAAAAAAAAAAAGTTTATTAACCACTTGACATTTATGTACTGTATACTTCAACATCTTTATACACAGTCATGGTAATTCACAGGACACAATTAGCAACAGTTCTACATAAACCCTCCATACATCTTTAATTTCTGATCAGCTTTGTAGTTTACCCAAAAGGAGGGGTTTAAGTTTACATACAGGTTGGTAGTTATATACTGTATATTGTTACCATTAGCTGTAGTGAGTATGATACAGTCCACAGTACTGTACTATAAATTTGACGCTGGTGGGTACAGTAATTCTAGTAAAGCTACAGTACGTGGATTGTACTTGTTTTATGCTACAACAAACATTCAATCTACAAGATTAATTCAGCAGTTTAATTATGTTCCATCAACAAGTAAAATGTTTGCAATCTCATTATATGTAAATTTGCATCAATACATAATAAGTAAAATGAATGAGATCATAAAAGAATAAAAGGCAAGTATACTGTAAAACAACACATACATTATACCAAACTCTTTATCAATTAAGTCATGCCACACTGTTCAAAATACTTCAGGGCAACACACACAAAGTTATCAATGGATGAACAAGAAATTGTTAAGATATATTAATAGTGGATGCTGGTCAACAGGTGTGCAGGTCTGCTAGTTTCTCCAACCACCTGTAAAATAGTGCTTAATGCAGATACTGTGACAGTGATATAGACAGTTAGACCAAAGGGTAAATCTGTGAGAAATAAACAGGGAAAGCAACTGGAGATACAACACTGGAATATTGGGGAGGGTCTTCAGCATAATAGCCGTGCATCTACCTGGTGTGGGAGTGCTTACAGGCCATGGTTTTGAGGGCTAGACGCTCCTGCTCATATTCTTCCCGCTGCAGCGCCTCCAAGTGAGCTGATCACCAGGTAATCACCAAAACATTAATTTAGATTCAGTTTATCTTTATACAGTAACTTAGTATCTATATACAGTACAGTATACTGTACTAGAAAAAAATAATCCACATAAAGTAAAGGGACACCACAACCACTATTTTTGTTGGGAGTTTTACCTATCTATTGATCTTAATGCCAAGAATGTTCAGTATATCCAGTAGGAGACGTGGATTTTTTTTTTTTAATTTTCAAAAATGGTGTTAACAATTTCCAGTGCTGATAAATAATTAATTTACAGCATTTTTTCAGAGTCTTGACAAGTACATTACATAGGTTTCATTAAATGCCTAAAATGTAAATCCTCGTGGTCAGCATGCCTCTCGTGAATAAACACATTCACTGAACTTAAAAGTCTAATTTCAGCACGAACTGACCAAGGTTTGGCAATGCTCTGTGGTCCATTCTTGCTAAAATTATTAGTAGACATAATGTTGTTCATACAACATTGGTTTAATTTCATTCACTGGAGCACAAGGAAACCAGTGGCCTACTTGCCCTTACCAGATTCACATTTTACTGTAATTCTAGCTGAATAATGAGATGCCTATCATGCAACAAATCCATGGTTGATAGCAAGTGGTTATTTTACCAGAACTTTGGGTGGATACAGTACTGTATTTGAGTTGTGTATTTATTCATTCCATTGTCAAAATAATTTTAAAATCACATTAAATCATAAATTTTGATATCCAATATCAAATGTTTATAAAAACGACACCTATCCCATGGCTGTTCTGGATTGACTTTCCACTAATTATACAGTACAGGTGTATCAATTGTCTGCTTCCAGTGCACTCCAACTGGGTGTAAATCACACCCAGTTGAAAATGAATGGATAACAAGCAAACTGGATCCCTTTTATAGTCATATTAATAAACAGGTAAAGTCCAATTAGAGGCAAATAATACACCCAGCCAAAATCATATGAGGTGAAATATCATCCCTAACAAACCATTTTTGTCAAGACGTCACTGTCGAAGGTTGTCACTGACTGCACTTGACCAAGGCTATTAATGATTGTCTTACCAGTATGTAAAACCTAAAATTGACAGGATGCACAATCCTAAAATGCCATAGCCATTACTTGACCATGACCTCACATACTGTAAGTAAGTTACAAAAAGTGCAAATTGTAGTGTGGTCAGTGGAGGTCAAAATAAATGTAATTGTAAATCACTGCACGATACAGCACTGTACTCTACAATATACACAGTAACTGTTTCAAAATCCTTTCCATGAAAAATATATTTGATGGTCTAATGTATATAGAAATAAATCTAATGCTTTTAACGTGGCTTTAATTACAGAATGGGTGAATATCCACAAACAGAATTCATCAGAATTTCAGCAAAATGACAACACTACTGCTTTACAAAGATCGTATTAGCTAATGAAAAAAATTCAATGATACAGTAAACATAATTAAAGATGTGGAGTCCTGCTAGGCACTTAACAAACACAAATATGGTATACATAAAGATCTTAAAAAATAATAAGGATTAATAATGGTACTGTCAGTAACAACCATCTCCTTCACTGTCACACAGTACCGTATTTTAATTAATGCGATAGCCATCATATTTAATACAAGTCTTACATTCCAAAATTATAATGCAGTAAACACAATAATGTACACTGTAGATAGTGTCAGAGTAAAGGCACACAATACCAATACTGTACGAGTCTCACCCATGGACTTCATTGTTAACAGATTGGATCTTTACCTTCCTTTTAATGTCCATGTAGAAAGCAATTTCAGTACAAGTGAAAAAAAATTTGACTGTTAATTTAAAGAAATAAAGATACGATGTTATGTAATATAATCATAACTGTACATTCTTGTCAGAACACTTCAAGATCATTTTATCATTTTCAGCTGTTTGTTTGTCCTGGCAGAAATTATTTACCCCATAATGTAAAACAAAAAAGAATGACACTTTACAGTTTGGTAAGTTCACAAGCAGCTTTTCCTCCTGCCAGGACAGATTTGCACTCCATAGTATAGTACAGAATCTATAGAGTTCCCATCAAAACTTTATAAATAGTGCAATAAGGTAAAACCCATTCTACACTTTTTTTTACAAAGTTTAGAGTATATAATATTTTAAATGGCTCCTGAGTTTACTACTCTTTCTCTTGGGGGTGGAGGGGCAGACCTTCACCAGTATAATATGTTAATTATTCCATAAACATTGGCATACAATTATTCCATATAATGGTAATATGGAAAGTTGTAGAAATGTTTAATCACTGAGTAATGAGCCTTTCTATCCTGTCAATTTTGACCCCAACTACAGTGAGCAGAGCAGTAAATTGATACTTTTGGACATCACCGAAATTTTAGGAATTTTATCTTTACAACCAATAGTTTAGACATTTCAAAGACACTTTTCTTTTGTTTTCCTCGCAAATAACCTAACCACCTAAACGGGAAGAGGGGGCACACCCCTGGTATATACAATTTGTCATTTGCATGGGAAACGTTGAAGAAAAATCTCTTAGAATTGTCCTAACATTCCTGTTGTCTTCGAAGCAGAGGGAAAATATTGGGTTAAAAACATATAATTTAAAGAACCAAACCCAACCTGGTCTATGTGGATAAACTGTACTATAAAAACACCGTCCTAGTTATGGGCTCATAAGCCGGTGTTTGAGGAATATTGGCTGCTTGACCAGTATATTTGTTTCAATACATGCTCGGTAGATTATATATATCCAGTATAAGAGCAAGAAAAAAGCAAGTCTGAAAACCAGTTATGAAGCGGACAAGAAGATATATATATATATAACCAAATCTGTTTAAAACTAAGTTCTTGGTTAGGATTGTTTGGTACATGTTGTCTGCTTCTTAAGTGGTTTTCAAAGTCATTTTATTTCCTTGTTCCTCCAACAGATTTGTAATTCTGCATCAAATTATATATGAATAAAGATCAAAAAGCCTTTCCTGCATACTGTGCTATCCAATGGAGTTTGTAATATTTGTACCGGCATCTCTTGCATTACTAGATGGAAAAGCAATTGATTTTACATTTCAACATGTTTCAACTGTCTCACTTAAACACAACAGCTGGGGCACTCTGGGGATGCTGTCTTGACTGCCCTACAGCATGACATGAGTGATCCTTTCAATACTATAATAATTTATCACTACCGCCCACACCACAGCATCTCCAGTGACTCGCTTGGTGATTTAGAAATTCCCTCAATTTATTAGTTAACCTTAATTCAAACGTTTCCTTTGTAGAAAATCAACTAAATCAAAAGGAAATTTTAATGTGAGTGGAGAAAAACAACAAACCGTTTAATGGTTGTTTACTTCTTAAGTGATCTGTATTGTGAGTGATCCGCTGCAACACCTCCAAATTTATTACATAAATTACATCAACGAATAAATTATTAACGCTAGAATAACATATACATACCTTTCTTCTTCCCCTTCCCCTTGCGCTTTCTGGGTTGAATATCGCCTGACATATTTAGTTTGTATGTAATCCAGTGGTGACTGATAGGACCTATATACAGCACCTGTCCCCACCGCCACGCCAGAGTCGACTGTCCCAAAACAAAAAGATGTGTTGTCATACGAGGCTCCTAGATTGTCTGAAAAGAATCACTAAAAAAATCGAAAAATATTGTCAAGCCATGTAATTAGTTTATTTATGTTATTATGATAATTATACCATGAAATTGTGTCTTTTTTTAAAATGTTGTCTTTGAAATATCAGCTGAGCATCCTTGTAGGTGATGATGTGTGCAGACGCTGTCACAGTGTTACCACCTCAAACATTTCCCTTCCGCCGGTGATGTATGTGCCCATAAATTTTTCAAGTGGTCATTCTTGGAGAACTTTAATGTATTACAAATAAAGATAAAATTTTACATTAAATATATCAGGTATATTCAGGTGGATTGTTTGGCAGCATATGTGAAAATGAGTAATTGAGTAATTCTTGTAATACTGAAAGAGAGGTGCCGGGAAATTTTAAACCCAATCTTTTCCCGGCACTTCAATTTTTTCAATTTCAGTTGTTTATTCCTTGATAGAGGAAGCGGGATCCCTGTACAATGACACCAGAAGCATCTGGCAAGTGTGACAAGTATATACAGTATAAATATTATAAAGGGGCTTACTAAAGCTTAAGGAAGGAAGGATATTCCTTTAACACATAATCAATGTTTTTTACAAAATATCTGGCCAGTATGGGGAGGATCATCGTGTCTCCGTCAGGGGGTCGTGGAGTGGTGGTCCAGCAGGCGTTGTGTGTGGGGACATCTTAGGAGGTAGTGGATAAGGGTGCTGCTGTCGGGTCTTCTGCATAATGCACAAGAGCGTTGCTCAGGGGATGCGGGGATACCAATCTCCCAAGCAAAGTCATACCCAATAATGTTACGGGCAGCAATCACGTCCCCTTTCCGAGACCCTTTCCCGTAGACGTACGAGAGGTCAGGAAGTTTACGGAGGACGTCGTACCAGGTGGGCGGGGAGTCCAGGGGGATGGCTGCTTCCCGGCTCCTGGCACTTTCATCCATTTTTTCTCCGTTTGAATATGGCTGTTGTTCTCTTTCTTGACAAATGATATATGAACAGTTACTAGTTTATTTCCTGGATTTATTAGGAGTCGAAGAAGCCTTTGAGAGAAGCTATGATTGAAATTGTCGAATTTATAATAAATTAGAGTAGTGTAGTACTGCTATACTACTCTAATACTTGGGTTTACTACATCATATGGATCTTTAATAAAGTATTTCAGTCTTAAATTATCAAGACGGGAAAGGCTGAATTTAATATCCCCAAGTGAATAGTGAAGGACTTAACAGACAAACAAAAATAATTCTATTATTCCAAAGATATCACGGCAATGTAGGCCCTGCAGTATTAACACGGTCCACTGGGTAGGCTCTTGTCAAACAATGATGTTTTGTTTGGAATGATAGAAAAAGGATAAATTTGCATCACACACTGGATGGATCCAAGGTTATAATTTCCGCTTATTGAGGTAAACAAAAAAAAATCCAGTGTGGAACTATACTCTCCCCAAACAAACAAAGATTTTTATACAGTTAAAAATACAGGCCAGGATACACATAGAGTATATAGTAAAATAATTTGTCATTCTATAGCCAGTGCAGTATCGTACATTATTCGCCGCTTTAGTTAAAACATTTATAATATAGAAATTGTTTTATTCACTATATAATTTTTTAATTGTAAGCGGAAGAAAGTATTCGAGCTTTTTAAATTCGAATCATTAAAATTCATACAATATCATTTGCTGCACAACATAATCAAATAGTGTTCAACAATCTTTAGTGAAATAGTGTACGATGTTCCTCAGAGTGTGTAGAGCAACATACGGGAACAATGGCGCGTGGCAGAGGTGGGTATAGAGGACACAAAAGTTTATATATCAAAGGAAGAAGGAAGAATGATAAAAATGAAGATAACCCGAAGAGGAAAAGACAATATGAGGAATTTGGAGAGGCTCACCCTATTGAAGAAGAAGATTTGAATATTAAAAGAAGGAAGGTAGAGTTATAACCTGCTAGTGTATTACCACCCTATTGGTGAACCAGTTCCTTCCTATCTTCCTCCTAAAATTTATCCAATTTAAATCCGTTGCTATGAGTCCTATCTTGCTCGGATATTATAAGAACTTTATCTATATCCCCTTTATTGATTCCTTTCACCCACTTAAATACTTCTATCATATCTCCCCGCACTCTTCGTCTTTCTAGGGAATGCAAGTTAAGTTTCTTTAACCTATCCTGATATGGAAGGTTTCTAAGTCCCGGAATCATTTTCGTCATTCTTCGCTGCACCGACTCTAGTGAATTGATATCCATTCTATAATAAGGGCACCAGAACTGAACCGCATAATGGTGGTGCGGCCTGACTAGCGCAAGATATAGTTGCAATAAGACCTCTGCACTCTTGTTACTTACACTTCTAGACATAAAACATAATACTCTGTTTACCTTATTTCGAACATTAACGCACTGTTTTCTAGGCCGTAGGTCCGGGCTTACAAGTACCCCCAAGTCTCTTTCACAAGTCGACTTCTCTAGGTTGATGTTGTTAAGGCTGTATACATTGACAGTATTTGTTCTTCCAATATTAAGTACGCTGCACTTGCTGGTGTTGAATTTCATTTGCCATTTTTCAGACCACCCCTGCAGTTTATTTAAATCCTCCAGTAGTGCATTTGCATCCTGCCATGAATTAATCTGCCGCCTTATTTTGGTGTCATCCGCAAACTTGCTTATGTCACTGTTGATTCCAGTATCCAGATCGTTTATGTAGATTATGAACAAGAGTGGGCCCAGGACTGACCCCTGGGGAACCCCACTGGTTACACAGCCCCAGTCAGATTTAACACCATCTATGCTGACCCTCTGTGTTCTATCGGTGAGCCATGATTTTATCCAATTTAAAACGTTACCTCGATACCATGAGCCTTAACTTTTCTCAGAAGCCTCTGATGCGGTACTCTGTCAAACGCTTTACTAAAGTCTAAGTAAATAACATCGTAATTTTCGTCATTATCTACTACCTCGAAGACTTTCCTAAAAAACGTCAGCAGATTTGTTAGATAAGATTTACCCTTTGTAAACCCATGTTGAGAGTCGTAGATTTATTTGTTTTTCTCTAAATGCAATCGGATGCTAGTTGCTATAATTGATTCAAGAAATTTCCCCACTACTAACGTCAAACTAATCGGCCGGTAATTACGCTGATGATCTATTTCCCTTTTTGAATATGGGTACTACATTTGCCTGTTTCCACAAGTCTGACACAACTCCCGTGTTTTTGAAGAGGACAAAGTACTTTTAATATTCGGTTTAGCACATGCGTAAACATTTACTTAAGTGCTGCGAGCAATTTTGACAGCAAAATTTTTTTTTCCTGCATGAATTTTGCTGTTTTTTTAATCGGAGAGAGTTTTTTCTTTTTGAAAAAACTAATATTTTCCATATTTAACCCAAACGAACCTGACCTAACCCCATAGTGAGGGGGGGAGGCCCTCGTTCCCCCTCAGTGATTATATAATGTCAGTATTTAACTTATTCTTATTAAACCTATCGTAACGTATTCCCTTATTGAGGAAACGCTATTTTTTCAGAGTTGGTTCATTTGTAAAGCGATTCAGACGACCCGCGCACCATGCACTCCCCCTCCCATGGCTTGCTGACGGTATTTTAGTATAAATTATAAAAAAAGAAACACTTACCCAAAAGAGAACACTGTCACTAGGGATTAACAACATAAATTATGGTGGAAAATCAATGTATTCTTGCTAGAATCGTTGGCAGCATTAATATACATGTTAACCAGCACATGAACCTGGATAGGCTGGACTTCAGGATGAAAATAGTTTCTTTAACTTTCCGAGATAGAATTTATTTATGAACCGGTTGTCTCTGGAATTACATGTGCAAATTTTCAACATAGATATAAATAATATTTGGATTGATTAAAATGAGCATCTGTCGAAGAAGTCAACATGTGTCGACTGTGATACGACCCTCACCAACCATGGTGTGACAGCCTGGGGGCTAGGAACATGGCATTAAATTAGGTTTGGATGGGGTTTTAAAGTTTCGTAGTGTCACCACGACTTCTTTTACCCCACCATTTCCCTCTAATTCATAGCATTGCCCACTATATAAGAACCTATTTTCATCCTGAAGCCCAGGTCATGTGCTAAGCTAAATAATTACCCAAAGTGCTCCTTTATAGGGGAGATAGCTGGACTGCTTTAGATAATAGACTTATACCCACCAAACTCAGTTGACGTCACTTCTGGTGCTCGATATCTTAAAAAACGCTTCTCAACGACCTTTCCGTATCTTTGTTAACCTAATCTAAAATACGCATGTACTGCATACAAAACTGCACAGTATTTCCATCCTATGATCACGAGCTTGGATTTTATCATTTTATTTCTGATAAATCATATATTGTAGCAGTTGCTGGAAGTGTTTGTGTGTATGGAATAGTCACTGGGAACCATTTGTGTTTATGAAATGATCGTTTTGTAAACAATTAAAATGGTATTAACTGGACATAAATTAGTGTTCAGGATAAAAATTTGCCAGAATAACAATATGAAAATTCCTGTTTCTTGTCACTACTATATTTTCTGTTTTCTTGAGGTAAGATAAAAATTTTCTTCAATAGAAAACAATTTGAAAGTATCTATGTGGTTAAACTTTGTACATGTCCTAAATTATTATCAAAATTAGGGTTATGAAGTAGCTATCACTGATTTAGTACAAGCAAAGTTACTGTATAAATAAATACTCATGGGTTCATTCTTGTTAAAATCAGTTGTGGTTTATCAATAACTTTTTTTATCACTAATATACTGTAGGTATAGTATAGCTCTAAAGGATAAGGAAAATGTGGGGGTAAAGATAAACTATTGTAAATAAAACTTGTTAAAAATTTTATGAATATCCAATTCTGAATCTGGTTTCTTCCAAAAAGAAGTGTTTCTGTGAGCTGCAATGAAGTATACTTTTGGACTTACAGTCCTTTAATATGTTTACATACTGTACTCTCTCCAGAAATCATAGTTCTTCCTTTTTACAGGTGGAAGATATTGATGAAAGTTATCATGTAAGTGGAGAGGATGAAAATACTGATGATTCTTCCAGTGATGAAGAGTGTGCCGGTACAGATGCTGTAGCAAGACTCCTTGCCACATTTAACACCAACAGTTGTAAAGCTGTTGGCAGTGATGAAGATGAGGAGGATGATGATGATGATGATGAAGAAGAGGAGGAAGATGGGGCTGAGGAGGAAGAAGAGGTAACTGATGTAACTGATGAAGGTAGTGATGCTAATGGTGACACTGAACATGCAGAAAGTGAAATAGAAAATGATATTGTAGCAGGAGAAAAAAACATGGAGAGTTATGCAGGACAAGACACTGATACATCTAATGATGATGATGACGATGATGCAGAAAGTTTAGGAGAAATGCAGGTTTGTAGCTATATGGTACAGTACACTATTGTTAATTTAGACTGTAGGCCAGAGGCTATAGTCACCCAGGGAAACACTTTATAATGAACTCATAGAAAAATTAACAAAGGTTTTCTCATTCATGGCTTTAGAATTGGGTCATATTCACATTTTACCATAAGTTTTTGGTCTGCTAGTTTATTGAACTCTAAATTGCCCTTTATAGTTAATATAAGCAGTTACCCTATAATAATGATGCCTCTTAAGAAAGTGAAATTATATTTATTCTAAAACATTTCCATTTCTAATGGAAACTTTTCATGGACAGAATGTAAATGACAGCACTGCAGCATTGGATGAAGAAGAGGGAGAAGATTCGTCACAAAGCCAGGGTGATCCATTTTCATTGCATTTTGAAAGGAACCTGAGTGAGACTGCTGCAGAGCAAATAAAGGATACTAAAAGCTGGATATCAAATTTCAATGAGTGGCCTACTTTAGGGAGAATAAAAGTAGAAGTTCCAAATGTTGAAGTAAAAATTCCTAAACTCTTATTACTTGCAGAGGAAAATCAGAGTTCCTCAATGCCTAATATTGCAGTCATTCCTCAACCTCCAGAGAAGAAGAATTTTAATCTAGATAAATTTTACATAAGGAAGGCATTGCAAAAGAATATATTATCTGCCAATATCAGTGGTAGTTGTGAATGCCCCACAAGCTTAACAGATTTACAGAAGGAATTACTCAGTGTTTTGTCAAGTTATTGTGATATGTATTACCCACAGGCCACTCATGAGAACTGGGAGGAAGTGAGAACTGTCTATGCATTACATGCCATTAATCATATTCTCAAAACCAGAAAGAAAATTGTTAATCATTCTGCCAAGATCACTAAAGCAAAAAGTGAGAAGAGATATGAAGATTCAGATAATTATCGTGACCAAGGATATTCAAGGCCGAGGGTCCTTATTGTTCTCCCATTCAAACATTCAGCTTACAGGTATTTTTGCAAAATTTATATATACAGGTACTCCTCGACTTACGACCACCCTGACATACGACCGCCCCAGTCATACCAAAAAAATTTCAAATTGCGTATTTTTGATTCCCGACGTTAGTGATTGCGCTGTGTACATTTGACCTATAAAATGTGAAGCTCCACCCATATATATATATATATATATATATATATATATATATATATATATATATATATATATATATATATATATATATATATATATATATATATATATATATATATATATATATATATATATATATACAGTGATAGTTAACGAACGCCTCGGTTAACAAAATTTCGGTTAACGAATTACCTTCCATAAGAATCTTCAACTCGATTAACGAACAAAAATTCGGTTAACGAAATCCTTACGAAATCGTGTCAACATGTTTTCGCCTGCTCACCAGCTGGAGTATTAGTCCATCAATACAGTAATCGGTTTTAGGGCTTAAATTCTTTACCATTTGAGTAAATATAAAGAAGGTTGTACTATTCAATGATTTTCCAAGTCTTATATTAAAATTTTTAGTCATTTTAACAATTATTTAACATAATTGAAGTACAGGGAACTAGTTTTTAGCGCGCCAAACAGCCACTTGACTCACCCAGAATGGCGTCAGTTTGTGTGTGTGCTCAGTGGAGGAAGCATCTTGCTTGAGACTCTCTTGAACATAAACTATTTTTACGTTTTTACAGAACAATTATTGGTCATTCTGAAATTTATTTTACATATTGACAATATATAGTGCAATGCAGTGTTGATTTAAAGAAAATAATCTTGAATTACACCAAGTGAACTAAAAATTTTATGGGTGAAATGGCAGCATGAAGCATGGAGTGATTTCTCTTCCACCCTACTGCCTTCTCTTCTCCCTTCTCCTCCACCCCCACTTCTAATTCCCATCATCATCATCATCAACCAGGAGCCTTCTACATACACACCTCAAAATAAGTGTATTTTACTGCATTTATTTTTAGTTTGTATGTAATTTTCGGTGAGCTGGAACCAATTACCCAAAATCCCATTGAAACAATGTGTGTGTGTGTGTACAGTCTCTCCTCGACTTACGACGGGGTTCCGTCTTGACGACCAGGTCGTAAGTCGAAAAGGCGAAAATAATACATAGAAATTCTAAAATTGGTGTCTCTTTTTCTTCTCAGCACCACGAGAACTCTCACTTTTACGCTTGCCAGCCATTTTAAAGGGAAATACAAACGAAAATTTTGTCAGTACACAGAGCGTTCACTAACGTCTGGACTCAAAAATACGTAACGTGAAAAATATTTTATACGGCCATGACCGTCGTAAGTCGGGGAGAGACTGTGTGTGTATATATACAGTATATGATTTAAGTTCTATCATAGTGTAGAACAAATCTAATTTTCCTTCATTAAATTATACAATATTCCTATGAACATTGTTATCGCAGCAAAATGGTTTATCTTGTTCTTCATCTCAAAATATATTGCAGTCAATACTTTCTCCTTGTTCCGTAGATGCTGCTGCTGCATACAGCTATATTTTCCAGAAATCTTCTCATTAAATATTATAAAGTTGCAGTATAATGTATTATCCACTTTTATTTCTCAGACTTGTGGAGACAATAACATCACTTCTATTGGAGGGTAAGGCTGTCACCATTCAAAATCAGAATCGTTTCCGTGAAGACTTTGGTCCTGGAGATGAGGAAGGTAAAGATAGTGTTAGCAAGCTAAATAGACCAGAGGACTTCCAGGAAACATTTAAGGGAGATATCAGTGAAGATTTCAAAATTGGACTAAAGCTTACCAAAAGCTCCCTCAAGGTAAGAATGAAGTATTTTAAGAAAAGTTTCATCCAGGCATTTTCAGCTTACCTGGTTAAAGGGTCAAGTCGCCTTATGTGTCATCTCTGTGATTATTATTTTTGTGTCTTATGGTAACTTAGGCATCCATTAACATGTGACTTCTTAACTACTGTTTGTTTGCTCTGTATGACTTTGTGTGATAAACTATTGTGTGCACAGAATCTCATACCTGTACACAATTTGGTCATCTGACCTACACTGTACATATTGTGAAACCTGACCAAAATATCTGGTTAAAGTGTGAGATGTACACACCCTCCTCCCCTGGTCCAGCACATACGGTGTTTCATGCCCCCCCCCTCTCTCCTCCATTATGAATGTGCAGTGAACCACATGGTGCAGGAGAGGGTTGCCTCTGCAGTAAGAATGAATAACATCAAATGATGGGAGAATGTGTGTGAGTAATTGCCCTTAATACCAGTCACCCTGCATTGTTTTTGGAAAAGGCTTATTTTAGAGAGAGACCATTCATTCTAATTTTTGCTTTACAATATAAAAAATATTCAAATTAATCATTTTCAGCTGTATGCAGATTTCTACAATTCTGATATCATAATAGCTTCCCCACTTGGCCTTCGTTATGTGATGGGAAACTCTTCCAATACTGGTGCGGACTCAGACTTCCTTACATCTATTGAAATCCTAATCATGGATCAGGTATTGAATATTATCTTAATGTTATCTTAATTACTAAATTTTTGCGAATTTTATGAATTATATTTTATAGGATTTTTTCTTTGTGATGTAGATGTTTGATGGTGTAGATGTCCTTTCATTGTTTTAGAGCATTGCTATATATTCTTTACATGTTTGCATATTTTTATACAGTAATATCTCCGTTAGCCGGATTCCCTCAAACCCGGAACTCTCCGATAGCCGGAATTTAAATTTGCTCAGAAAAGCATTCCCAAAGTCGGAATTTAAAATTTTTTTTAAGGGTTTGGGAACAAATTTTCTGAGGTCGAAATTCGAGAGCATTTTCTGAAAATTTATTGAATAAAGACGAAATCTCAGTATTTTGGGGAGGGACCAGACCTGACTCAATGTCAGGTGAAGGTAGGGTAGGGGATTGGTGGTCTCATATTACTGACTTTCTGATGGAATGTCAGGTCACCCTTTATTGGGTAGAGGGGAATAGTGGGTCTCATGACCTGTTGATGTCTTGAATAAACATGAAACCTAAAGTATTTTAGAGAGATTGTGATAAGTATAAGTATAAATGAGCCAAGGTTCATTGTACCCATGTTATCCTGGTAAGCCACTCATTAGCTCACAGAATTATAAAGTTTGCCACACTGTTGGTGCCTGGAATATGCAAACATGAGAGGTTATACTATACAGTACATGCAAGGTTGAAGGTATAGATACAGTATGAAGAAAGAGATTAATACAATTTATACTTTTTGCAGGCTGACGTCTTCATGATGCAAAATTGGGAACACGTTCTTGTACTGATGGAAACAGTAAACAAACCTCCACGTGATATCCATAAGCTTGATGTTGATCTCACTAGAGTACGTCTGTGGTCCCTGGACGGTCACTCCCCACTGTATCGTCAGACTGTTCTCTTCTCGTCAACTCATATAGACCACAATAGAGCTCTCATAAGCAAGTGCACTAATTTAACTGGAAGATTGCAGGTACAGTTTATTTTTTACATGCCCGGTGTATCGCATTATTCATTCAAATGTTTCTTGTTTGTTAAACTTATATGTAAAATCCCATTTTTACAAAGTAGCTTGGGGCCAATATTTCCAGTAAAATGGTACCACGTAAATTTGGGATTTTACTGTGATTTATAGAATTCATACATATTTATTGGTTGAGTGTGCCTCGTTAATAATCTGGAAGATGTTATCGCTGCTAAGCACTTCCTGGGCAGAGCCTGTAAGTGCCATGAAAAGTGCAGTTTTTGATAGTAGGAGACATCATTGTAATGAACAAAATCTCCCTGTTAAGATATGAATGCAATGCAGTATGGAATAGATTGTGATTTAATTACTCTATTTACTATCGTGTATAAATATTATAATATTTAGAGGGAGTTGTCGTGTTTCTTTATCTTAATGTCAGTTACTTACTAGAACTGATCCATGCATTACAGTTTTTTTTTTACAGGGATTAGTCCACCCGGGCACAGGTCACTGACCCTCATCGGGGCCTGGGAAGCAAAATTGTAATAATAATAATAATAATAATAATTCATAGTAAATAAAATTTATAATACAAAATACAAAATTGAAAATAAAATAATGAATTAATAATGATGATAATAATAATAATACTATTATAATAATAATAATAATAATAATAATAAAGAATACAAAAAAATATAAATTTGAAACAATATACATTATGTATGTTGTGTTGTCAATAGTAAGAGAAACAATTGAGACCCTGCAATTGTGTGTAAATGATGCAGAAAGTCAGGTCTGCAATCTGGGACTTGGTCACAATTTTTGTGATGCCATATAGCAGCAGGGTCTACCATTAGACAACACATTATGCTTCCAATATCTTCCTGGGTGGTAGTACCCCCTTTTGGTAGCTGCCTGCTGCCAACTCCTTATTTTTATTATATTAATCAGGGGAAATATATAGAGGTGCTGTATCTACTTTTCTAAATTTATTCTTAACAAAAGAGGTTTGAGGTTATATGTCTTATTCTTATTTCTACAGTACTGTAAATACTGTATACCGTGGGAGCTTAATTTTACATCTGCAAGATTAAAGAGAAATTACAGTTTACCTCATTTGTATGGGTGTCATTGGTTAACATGAAAATGCCCAAACTACACCACATCACAGGATACACTATTTGAATTAGTCCTGAGGTAACTATCCTACACTAACAGTGGGACCTGGCTACTGGTGCAAATAGATACTGTTGGTGTCCACCAACATTTTCATTTGATGTTATTTCTTTTTCTTGAATTTTTGTGTTTCTTTATAAACTATTATATTATTCAGGATTCACTGATATGTACTTCCCTGTTTACATAAAGACCAACACTTGTAGGAATGTACTGGCCTGGCTTTGGGGAAGGAAGCCTTCCAACATTAATTCAGCATAAAAACATAAAGTTTTTGCAATAACTGGTGTATGTACCCAAATTCATCTAATTGAAATGATTAATGAATGTGTGTTCACATATATATTGTGTGATAGTTTATGAGTTCTCGGGTTTTATAGGATCATTAATATGAAAATAATTATTTCCATACAGGTACTAAACCCTGTAGATAATGGCTCTGTGCAAGAAGTTGTGGTGCAAGCTGAACTTGTTCTTCATCGCATCGCAGGAATGAGAGATCCAGACAGTCGATTCCGCTTTTTTACTCAAGAGATTTTCCCCCAGTTGCGATCAAGCATGCGTTCTCACACTATGGTGTATATTCCTGATTATTGTGATTATGTTCGACTTGTCCGTTATTTGAAGGAGGATGGAGGCACCAGTATTGCAACCATTAATGAATACATGGTTGGGGTAAGTGTAACATTGGAATTCGTTTTTGAAAATACAATGCAACAATTTATTATAGCTCACTCACATTGGGAATATTTGACTCCTCTAAGGTTGTTTTTGTGAAATTCAAGATTCACATCCATTGAGTTATGGTAGGGTTATGTTCTTGAAAAGTTATCCATAACTTGATATCTGTTTCCCCATTGTTGACTTCCATTGTATAATTTAGGATGCATTCCCATGGACAAAAATTTTCCACGCCACCAAAAAGTAAAAATAATTGGTACACAGCTTACTGTTCTCAATGCTGCTCAGGCTTTCTTATCTCTGCTGTAAACTGATTTATCCAACAGTTTCTTTCTCATTATGGATCTTAAAAGAGTTGTTGGAAGTGCAAGTGAACCAAAATATAGAAGTTATGTAGCTTAAAGGACATTACGGTCTCCATTTACTTCAATTGTAGATTTTCTGGGGTAAAGTGTGAATTGTCCATGAAAATATCCCCTATTCTACCTTGCTATAATGGGTTCCACAATCATGGTCATGTGAAAGGAAAGTATCTCCTGTAAGTTGGGAGGGTAACCAGTTCTTCTGTTTTTACTGGAGATGTTGAAGAGAAATAAAGAGACCAGTTTTTCTTCCATATCTCAAAATTCATACGAGACCTACCGGATTCTGTTAATGTATATTTCTGTAATTCAAAGATTCAAAGAATACATGTACACTTAAATGTGATTCTTGCATTTCCTTAAGAAAGTTAGAGTTTGGGAGTTCAGTAGTGGCTCTCCAACTTCATCTCTTCTGAATGTGGAAATTTTTTGGTCTTAGTAGAACCATTTAGAAATTACTACTTGCATCCCTCTCTCAGTCCTTTGTTTGCATTTATTGTCAAGCACATAGGCTGTTAGATTGTCCCACTAAATAAACACTTCCGGATTTGATTTCATTCTTGCCATGCACTTTAAAACCAAATGAGAAGGCTGCATATATTATAGACCCATCATTATGCTCAAGGAGTTTAAAAATTTTAATATCTTCGTATCCATAGCAAAACAGCAAAGTTGCCAAAGCTCGCAGCCTGTTCTTCGATGGAAAACGTCAGTTCCTGTTGTATACTGAACGATTCCACTTTTATCGACGTTATCGCATTAAAGGGATTAGACATATTATATTCTACGACCTACCATCCTACCCACACTTCTTCTCAGAGATCTGTAATCTCATGGTGGTAAGATATTTATTGTTACTGTATCTAGCTTGTACCTGTATATGTATTTCCAGGATGTAGTTGGATTAATTTTAGTAAAATTTCTCAAAGATATCGTTATATATTTTTATACGATAAGGAAGAACTTTGGCACTTAGGAATTACACTGGTACTGAATGGGAAATAGCTGTTTATTGGTTGTTCACTTCAATTGATTTTGGTTCCCTACTGCATAACAGGAGGGAATCAGAAAATATTTATCCATCCATCTGTGCATGCATGCTGATGGTGATTTCTCAAGAAAAAAATTAGTCGGGGGGTCAATATTTGTCACCACAGTATACTGCTTTATGTGAGTCTCTTAGATTTAAATTTAAAAATCAATATTGTTTCTTTGGGTAGATGCACATATAACTGAGTACAGTAATTTGCACAAATACAGTAGAACGTCGATTTAAAGCGATTCAATTTAAGATTATTGATTTAAAGCGACACCCACAATTAAGGGCTATGTTTTAATTTAAAGCGAATCTTTCCTATTTGGCGCATCATATTTTAAATTTTGCACCTAATGTTTCTTTGGGCATGCTACACTGTCCTAAGGGCAAAGCTGTACTGTACATGTACTCAAAATAATGTACTAAATGATTAATAAATTTTTTGTCTAGTGCAAACTATAGCATGTATATATTCAAACTAATCACTATCTTATAAGAATTCCAGCAATGTTAATTATATTCACCCATGTCAGTTCAGTGACATTTTATAAGAGAAAAACATACACACTCTTAGGGACAGATAAATAAATAAGCACTAGACCTTGGCATCAACTGTCAAACATAATTATCACCTCCCCACCCCATCTTCTCATCAGCTGATAGCTAGTAAACAGACCATTTCACGTCCCATAATTTTAGCTGTGTTGATTTATGAGTGTTTGTTTTAACATAATACTACAAAAAACAATGTTTAGTTTATTCTAGGAGATGGGCTGAGGTGCATCTGGGTAGACTCTGTCTTTTTAGTATTTTGTGTTTCTCTCAAGTGCCAAACTAAATTATTCCATTAAAACAACACTTCGATTTAGTGCGAATTCGGTTTAAAGCGACCTCTCTTGAAATGTATTTCGTGTTATATCGACTTTCTATTGTAGTAATGTTTATGGTGAAAGTTGGGACACTAAGTCCTCACTTTATGTAAAGGTTACCTCTTATATATTAAATTTTCACAAATCAAACTTAACTTTTTGGTAGATGCCTCATGATTACAACTTACACAAATTCTAATGGTTACATCAGGTTAGGTTGGTGCCCATTTGGCTGTTACCAGAGCTCAGAAATTAAATTAGATGAGGAAAGGTTATATTTGCTTGTGATTAACAATAGGTTTTAATACTGTTTGTGTTGCTGCTTAAAGTAATGTGTGTCTTTTTAATGCTCATTAAAAAACAGGAAGCGAACCAAAATCCACGGACACGTCAGAAGCACCTGGGGACCAGCACAGTGACTGTTCTCTTCCAGCGGACAGATCTCACCAAGCTGATTGGCATCTTGGGATCAAAGAGAGCTAGTGAAGTGATCAATTCCACTAAAATTGTTCACCTTTGTGTCATAGGGAAATGAAACAAAAATAAAGTTTTCTCTTCATTCATATTTGTCAGTTTCTCATTTGCAATCCTAAGAAAAATTACAATACAGTATATTCAATAAATTGAAATCCAGGATTACCGCGCTATTTGCAACCTAGCTTATCCGCAATTAATATTTTAATACCCCTGTTCGATGTTCACAAAGCATACCCCACTTATTCGTAAATTAAAAATTACGATCCCTTACAGTAATATTTCAAACCGGGCTGGCTAGCTGCAACTCTCGTACTTAAACGTAAGGCCCGTCACTTCACACATGCGGTTTTTTTGGGGGGGGGGGGTTTCGCTCATGGACCCGTGCAGTTTAGAAATTAGAAATTAATTAAATTCAGTGACGCCAAGTTATTTGGGGAAATCAAGAACCAAGCGGACTGTGAAGAGCTGCAGAAGGATCTCTGTGAGCTCCAAGAATGGTCGAAGAAATGGCTGCCGAGATTCAATGTCACGAAGTATAAGAGGATACGCCGGGGGCGTACCAACGGTAAGGAGGCGTATCAGAGTGAAGTGCTTCCCCATCTGGAGTACTGTCATCCCGTCTGGTCCCCGAGATACGCTAGGGACTGTCAGTTGGATGAAAATGTTCAAAGGAGGGCCACCAGACTGGTGCCTGCCCTTCGGCACCTCAACTACCCTGAGAGATTGGAGCGCCTGAACTTGCCTAGCTTATACTACAGACGGGCAAGGGACGACCTAATTGAGGTATATAAGCATCTCAGGGGCACTACTCAGTCGAGTATCCTGGAGCTGAAAGCGGACGCTAGCTACAATTAATAATTAAGAGAAATATCAATAATATTAGTTTTTTTAACACTTACATTAGTAGAAAAGATGGCTGGGCACACGGGGATGGGGGGTTGGTTCCGAGGCAGAGGGCAGATTATTGGCCCTCACTTGTATCAATTATATCACTATCCACCACAGAGGCTTGCAGGGCCTCTTTGTCAAACCCCTCAAAGTCCATATAAGTCCATATCCTCACTCTAATTATCACTATCACTGACTTGGGCCGGCTGTGGTGGGTGGCGGGTGAAGAACTCGGTAATGTTTTGATGACTGGACGACCTTGTGCGCATCCTACCTGCGCCGCTTCCCACGTATATGAGTAGATGCACCGCGTATATGAGAAATCGCGGAAAGTGAAACCGCGTAAAGCGGGGTAATACTGTGTGTGTGTGTGTGTCATGCAGACTTCCATATACAAACAATACCTCACTAGTCAGGAATCAAACCCTGTTCACACTCAAGAGGTCCAGGGTTTGATTCCCGACTAGTGCGGTATTGTTTGGAAGCCTCCATCTTGAAAAATAGCCGCCATCCTAAAAATGGCCACCATCTTAAAAAAATAGTTGTCATTCAAAAAATCTAAAAGCAAAATAACTACTAAAGTATTAATTGCATAAAAAAATAACATAGTCAGAGTTGTTCTAAATCCTGCACAGTTCCATATTTGCTTATCTTTTTTATTAATACGATTTTGTAGGATATTGGGCGCTGATCCGATAAAGATAGATGACTACCATAAAGTCTGCTCCTAGGCTGTGGGGGAGACTGACGAGGCAGACATGTTCCTGCTGAGACAACAACCAAAGATTATTATAGGCATTTCCTGACCACAAGATACAGCTAAGGGCCCAGGCTATACTGTACTAATGCAGAGAATGACAAAAGTAAGATCAAATCGACAGGGCATGATAATCACATCATTACTAAAGGTAGCTGCCATAGATTACTTGATTCAGTAGTACAGTGGCGTATGTAAGTAAAGAATACATTACCACCACCATTTCCAGATAACTGAGGCTACATTACCTGCACCAAAACCAGATGACTGAGGCTACATTACCACCAACCAGATGACTGAGGCTACATTACCACCACCAACACCAGATAACTGAGGCTACATTACCACCACCAATTCCAGATAACCAAGGCTACATTACCACCATCAACACCAGATGACGGAGGCTACATACCACCACCAACACCAGATGGCGGAGGCTACACCACAATTCCAGATAACTGAGGCTACATTACCACCCAACACCAGATGACTGAGGCTATATTACCACCACAAAACCAGATGACTGAGGCTACATTACCTACCACCACCACCAGATGACTGAGGCTACGTACCACCACCACCACCAGATGACTGAGGCTACATTACCACCACCACCACCAGATGACTGAGGCTACATTACCCCACCACCACCACCAGATGACTGAGGCTACATTACCACCACCACCACCAGATGACTGAGGCTACATACCACCACCAACACCAGATGACTGAGGCTACATTACCACCACCAATACCAGAAGACTGAGGCTACATTGCCACCACCAGATGACTGCAGCTACTTACCACCACAACCAGATGCCTGAGTCACCACCACCACCACCAGATGACTGAGCACCACCACCACCATCAGATGACTGAGACACCACCACTAGATACCGAGGCACCACCACCAGATGACTGAGGCACCACCACCACCAGATGACTGAGACACCACCACCAGATGACTGGCGCACCACCACCAAGTGGCTGAGACACCACCACTAGATAACCGAGGCACCACCACCAGCTGAGGCACCACCACCATCAGATGACTGAGACACCACCACTAGATAACCGAGGCACCACCACCAGATGACTGAGGCACCACCACCACCAGATGACTGAGACACCACCACCAGATGACTGGCGCACCACCACCACCAGATGACTGAGACACCACCACCACCAGATGACTGAGACACCACCACCAGATGACTGGCCCCACCACCACCAGATGACTGAGACACCACCACTAGATAACCGAGGCACCACCACCAGATGACTGAGGCACCACCACCATCAGATGACTGAGACACCACCACTAGATAACCGAGGCACCACCACCAGATGACTGAGGCACCACCACCACCAGATGACTGAGACACCACCACCAGATGACTGACGCACCACCACCACCAGATGACTGAGGCACCACCACCACCAGATGACTGAGACACCACCACCAGATGACTGGCCCACCACCACCAGATGACTGAGCACCACCACCACCAGATGACTGAGACACTGTGGGAGGACCGCCAGGCAGGAGGAGGAGGAGGAGGAAGTGTTGCTTGCTGGTAGCTGTAAGTAGAAAAGAGGAGTAGGTCACCACGAGGTCAGGTCTTATATAGCGGAGGTGGGCATGACTTAATAGTTGACCTCCGTCATGTAGAAGGCGCTGGTTGACCTAGCCCACAAGACATACACTGGGGAATTTGGAAGTCGGCTACTCATGGCCGTTTGTAGGTGAGAATCACTAATATTCCTCCTTCCCTCAGGCAGTGTAGGAGACTTGTTGTCTGCAGGGTTGCATCCCACATGTGAGGCAGAACAGGCGGTGCAGGAGACTTGTCGGCTGGGTTGTATCTCACATGTAAGACATATGGCGGGCGTGGATTAGCCGCCGCTAGGGAAGCAACTTTGTCTAGGTACACGAAATCTGTGGGAGGAGAGAGGAGAAGGAGGGTTGTGGGCGATGAATTTTGCTTCCTTGCGGCAGGTACAGGAGTCCTCAGATCGCCTGCTGGGGTGTGTGGGTCTGGGTCAGGAGCAGGGGCTGAGTCAGGAAGAGGAGTGTATGGCAGCAGGGTGCATAACAACAGCAGGGTCACGACAACAGCAGGTTCACGACAGCAGCAGGTTCGACAGCAGCAGGGTGCAGGACAGTAGCAGGGGTACCTGAGGGAAAAAAAAAAAGGGTGTGTGGGGGCGCACTCAGGCACATGGGCCACATCAGGAGCAGGGGCTGCCAGGCAGGAGCCGAGGAGGGTCAGGACAGTGGCAGGGGTACTGCTGGGCCGGGGGTGGCATCTGAGGCAGGACAGGTGCTTGGGGCAGGAAGAGGAGCTGGTGTCTGCTTAGAGAAGCAGTGCTGCTCAAGGGTGTCAACCTGCAGTGTAGAGACAGTAGCTGTAGAGCCGGTGAGAGCTGCCTCTGTGTGGATAAGCCAGTCTTCCATGTTGCTTGAAGACTGGGAGAGTGATCGGTTTCTCCTCCATCCTGTGTGGGTGCGAATCTCCGGGGGTCAGCATTTGTGGGGTACGTTAGGTTTGGGTTCACACTCAGGATGGGATGGAGAAAGGAAACTCACAATATGCTCTCTGTATACATATTGTATTAAATGTATAATGCAGCTTATTTGCTGGGTAGGCAGCGTGTTAACAAACGTTGAGTAGAAGCTGGTTGGTGAGGGTGAGGCTACGGCGTGAGGACGCCAAGGTGGCGAGTGCAGGAGCCGCCAGGCCAGCGCGGAGGAGGAGGTGTTGCTTTGCTGGTGGCACTGTGTAGAGGGTGGGGTGGCACAGTGTCAGGCCTTCGGGGTAGGCGCTGTAAGCCCCCCGGGAAAATGTTGAAATTTGAACACTTCTTTGGAGAATTTTGAAGCCATATGCAGTTATATTGAGGAAATTAGAACATTGAGAAAATTTTAATTAACTGTATATTTATTGATAGTGTACAAATTCCCAACACACACACACACACACAAGTGATAGATAAACATGAATTTTAAAGAATGAAAATAAAAATAATCCAAATGAATAAACAAATAAATAAAATATTGTAATATGTGGAGGCCCCTGGGAAGCTGCCCACTTTGCCCACTCCTGAATCCGGCCCTATCGGGAGATGGGACTTCTTAAATATTTTTTGAGTAACTAAGTCTAAAATGAGTAGTAGTATGTATTCAAAGATAGAACTCATACAAATTAATTGTGTACACTAATATTATCAACATAGTCACGAGCATCCATCTGCTGCTCAGTAACAACGTTCATATCCTGTCAAGCTCAGCTGATGGTGTGTACACAAGACGCCCCTGTGGTAGACCAGGATGGTGGACCAGACGGTGGAGAAGAGAGTGGGTGTATCCAGGCAGTTGGAGAGGGTAGGTATCTTACCCTAATAATGGCCTCAATGAATATAAGCCATTATCAGCTTTCTAATGTTAACCTGTGGTGAATGGACTTGATGTTTACCATTGTTTATGAACCTGCACTGTCTATTTACTTGTTTATACAGTATACCTGCACTGTCTATGTACTTGCTAAAACAACAGTAAATGACAGCTTTATAGAATCAACACTGGGGTCAATTTATGATAGTAGCCAGGTTTTGATTTTTCCATAAAAAATACGGGTATTATTTTACTTTCGGACATGACGCGCCACAAAGTATTTAACTACTGAAACATTTAGGTTAGTTTAAGCTAGGCCTACCGGGGGTCAGGTTAGGCCTACTGTGGGTCCGGGGGTGGAACCCCCGGCTAGGAGTTTGGTTAAGTTTTATGTCAGATGACTCGTTTTCTCCCCCACCCAAAAACCCTGGTTTCCCAGTCTCTCCCTCATTATTGTTGGGAGAGCAAAACTATCAATTTTCGCCAACAATGAAGGTCACATTCGTTTAAAACACACCTAAATACACTGGAAAAAACATATTGGTCAACCCCTTGGGATTCGTGTCCTAAAGTGAAAATTTACCAAAGAACATTTTTCCTATGGTTCTTGTTGTGATTCAGATGAATCTGACCTTCGTTTCTGGTGCTAACCTAACCTAACCGAAACCTGGCTACTATCCTAGATTGACCAATACGGGTAATATTTAAGAGCAATGATCTGGGTTATCCTTATGAATGTAGGTAAAAATGGCACAGGAAAAATGGCAATAGGAAAATATGGCTCCAGTAAAAAAGGCATAATAATCAGACTAGGAAAGAATGGCACATTAATTTTTATTGAAATTTTTTCGCTAAAATTTTATAACTTTTGTTACTGAAACTTACTTAGAGTTATATCAATGTGATAACATAACAATTTTATTACCTTTAAGTTAAAGGTAGAATGTTCTAGTTACAGGCTTTTACTAGAACATTATACTGTATGTTAGTGAAAACTCGTACATAAATTAATTACAAAATTAAAAATGTCACATTGCATATTATTGTTTAAGATTTCCAACGAATGTTATAGCCAGCGCCTTGCACAAACTCTTGGACTAACTTGCGACCAGCTTGGCGGTCCTGGCAGAGGGTCTTCAGCCTTGTCTGGAGGTTCTTGTAGGCGCTTCCTGGATGGCTCACAACGAGATTCGTTGATGTTTGAGATGATTCACCAGCATGGTCATTGAGAGAAGGGGTATCGCATTTGATGATGGATTACATGACCTCACGTGAGGTGACCTAACACAATGTACCCACAGAGAGCGACCTCACTTTACCTGGAGACCTGACAACGATAACCTCATAAAATATGACGGTTGAGAATGACCTGATCGCGAGATCTGATGTTGACGAGTTCCACAACAATTTAAATAATGAGTTACTTAATGCCCAAAGGCAGAATATACCATACAGAAAACTCCGATCAAATAAAAATGGCCCCAAATGGATAAATAATTATTTAAAGAATATTATTGGACAAAGGAAGGCTATCGGTAGGAGAATAAATCGTTTGTGGTTCGTGAGCTCGAAATGAAATTTGTTATGCCATTTTTTCCGTTGCCATTTTATATGAGTACCTGTCCTTATACAGTACAGCCACCGAGGGAAATTTATCCTGAAGAAAACTTGCTACTGTACAGTAATCTTGTATTAAATGGAGTAAAAACCTGACCACTGTTGTTAATTTTTGGCGAGATACAGAACTTTTAGATGTATCAGGTACCTTGGTAATGTATGAGAACACAGCTACCACCAAGAAAAGTTTATGGATTTGCTTCATTTTTTCACAATATGTTTTTATCATTATACAGGAGTAAGTATTTTAAAAGAGGTGACATTTACTATAACCTAATAGACCCTGACTGAACCAACTAAAGAATCCTACATAACCTTATATAAATTCCTAGCTCTGCCCCGAGACCCTTGGCCATATTAAACAGAAAATACTTATTTGGATATCTGGTACCAGTGAAAGCAACTTTGTTGAAGTGTCATGGTGTAATTTTATGTTTTTTGTGCACATGAGCAGACGAGAACATGCGCCGGCCGACATGGCAGATTTTTTGGCTGAATAATTATGGTGAATAATTATTTTCTTTGCATACAAAGAAGGTAGAGACATCATTTTAGTGTCATATCAGTTTTTCACCGTGTTTTATCCCGCATTTTCTCTCATCCTTCATGCCCTGCCCACTGCAGGCAGGTCAGGTTAAGTTGCCAAAAGTTTGATTGTTTTTATTTATTTTTCCCTACACTTTCCTTCATCTCCAAAGCCCTGCCTACTTAGTGCATCCATTGTCATTGCTGGTGGTAGTGGGTTATACCTCCATAAATATCCATTGTTGCCAAAACTAAAGGTAAACTACTTTTAAATCACCATCAAAAACATAAGAAAAACTTTTATTTGTTTGTGATTTCCAATTATGTTATCTACCTAATTTTTACCGTCATTTGCTTTAGTTTTGAGAAACGAAATAAGTTTTCCTCTATAAAGATTTTTCACAAGGCTGCTCTGTAACCCAGGCAATTTTCCTTAAATTTTACCATACTTTAGCTGTCTATAGAAGAAAATTCTTTCTTATAATGTACTGTTTGTGGTAAACTTAAGGAGCATAGGTACAACGAATGGTAAACATGAATAACAGGGACCATAATTTACAGTAGTAGTTTTGGAAATTCTATTTATAGAACATGTTTTACTTGAATGTAAATGTAGCCCAACCTTGAACAAGAGACAACATGACAAGTATAATATCTTGGTCATCACAGATTTGTCCAAGGTGTTTCACTTTTCAACCAGTTCAACACATACTGTACTTCATTTGTTCTGTGTACTCCAGTTAGAAATGATAAACTATCTCAAAAGTATATTTGGTAAATGAATGGAATGATTCAAAATAGTTAATACCAATACTAGTGTGTTTTCTTGGGGATTTTCACTGTTACTAAAACTCTATGTTTTATCCTTGGTAAATGCTGTATTTATAGAGTAATTTTATCATTAGCCAGACTCTTTGATCCTTGGAACTCTCCAATAGCTTGATTTTTATTTTTATTTTATGACCAATTGTTAATCTCCCATATTACAGCTCCTCCCCGACTTACGACGGGGTTAGGGACCCAAATCCAGGTCGTAAGTAAAAAATGCTTAAATAATACATAGAAAATCTAAAATGGGTGTCTCTATTTCTTCTCAGCACCACAAAACTCTCACTTTTAAGCTTGCCAGCCATTTTAAAGTGAATTACAAACAAAAATTTTGTCTGTGTACTGACATTGGGACTCGAAAATACATAATTTGACAAAATTTGGTACGACTGAGGCAGGTCATAAGTGCAGGTGGTCGTAAGTCGGGGAGGAGCTGTAGTATGAAAACAGAAAACTGTGATCACCGGGATGTTTAATAGATTATACCACTTATCCCACCTTGCTCTCTAATGGGAAAGGACATGAATTACCAGATCCAGAAAGGTAAACAGTTGTACCATTAACTCCATATTTATGTCAAGTCTCATCAGACAGTTTTTTCTACAGGAAATGAGCCAATTGGGAAATCTACGTGAGGTTTTGTCACGATCGAGTCAGGTAGCAACCAATGTGAGCAGCATCTTGGATTCTTTTGAGCACCGCTTGGCTCGCCTGGAGACAACCATCCTGCCTTTGTATCAGCAAACTGGCAATTTACAGCGGCGACAATTAAGTAAGGCTATTGTACTGTGGTATGTACTGTGGTAAAGTTTAATTTGATATCTTGTAACATTTATATTTAAATATAAACTTTAGAAACATTTGTTAAACATTTGATTACACGTTATTTTATGAAATTATTAAGCTTTATAACTTATTTAAGGTACAGTACTTAAAGTCATTTGGGATCGGTGTGTTGACGCTAAGCAGGCTAATTTCAGTGAAAGTGGTTCATTGAGACACGCTCACCACTTTTCTTATGACATATAACTTCTAATTTCACTTCCATCCCATAGCTTCTACACTTCCTTTTAGCCACTACACCACCTTGCTTTGGTTTGAATTGAATTGAATTGAAACAGTTTATTTAGCCAGAAAAACACAGATACAGAGTGGATAATAATAACAATATTAACATGGCTGAGCCAGTTGAGAACCTGAGCTCTCCTGTAGGTTTGGAACTGATGGCTGCAAAAATAGTCCACTAATGTGACCAATTATAGTCCTTGGAGTACAGTACTTCAAAACAATGCCTGTGGATAGCGCGGGTAAGAAGGATGAACTTTAAGAGAATGAGAGGTGGGCGGGAATTTAAATTACTCAAACGCGTTTACTCCCGATGACTGACGGATTTCAGCCATAGAATCCTCTTAGCTTCGGGGACTTTTTATTAAATGTATTTCCACAATTATTTGACCACTTAAATGCAAAACCACTTACAATGAGGACACTTATAACAGAGACCCCCCCTGTATCCCTCGATTTATGTCACTTACAATGTGATGGTCCTAATTAGATCCTATTCCTATTAATTCCCCTTTATAAGTGGTTTCATTATCAGTGGCTTTTTTCTGGTCCCTGTTAACCACTTATAACGAGGACCCCCTAACTGTACTGTATCTGGATATCTCCTGTGTACCACTAAGTTGTTTTGGCACCATATGGAAACTAATACTGTGTCATGTCAATCATAACTCAACACAGGATTCTTCATTCATCATGAAGAATTTCGTCACAAGTTGATTTTCTCCCCACTTCACTGTTCTGAATTGCATGAAGTAAGCATAATTATTTATTTACATTGATGTTTCTGTTTCTTTCATTATTTCCTTACTAGGCCTGACACTTTGCCACCTTTTATTTATGACAGATACGGAGAAGACATTGCAGGAGTTAGACTATGTAATTAGTTTCTACAACGTGGCCGGCCAAGTTGAAGCTGTGGTTAAGGAACGACCGAGTGGCATTGGGGTCCCAAAGTACTTAGAAGCAATGGACCGCTTAGCTGAGACCTGCAAGTACTTTGAGCAGAATAACCCTCAGAGTGTTGAAATTGAGAATGTGGTAATGTATTTTTCTCATATGGTTTTGAAATCTTCTTAAAGGGGTGGATGGATGACACAACTAAAAATGGAGTACTAGATTACAGTAATGAAAATGTACAGTATACAGTATTGGCTTTGATAGCGAGGTTAGTGATGATAAGAGGAGCAATGAAGCCCACAAAGAATATGAAGAATAAAGAGTTGCACTAGTAAATGAAGCACTTCTAAAGTTGTATTGGTATGTGAGTTAGACAAATGAAACTGTAAATGTGGTTGAGGTGGGAGGTAGGTGTGGTTAATTTAGGGAGTTGTGCAATAGGTCGAGTTAGAAAGTATGTAAATGTACCAGTACAGTACTGTAGTTAGCTTAGGTTACAAAGTAAGTGTTCAAGAGTATAATGGATTGTTAGGAGGTTTACTGCTACTACAGAACCAGGTTCTACACGTAAGGACATTTGTATGATCCATTCTGCTTTATATTGGCTGAGAGACATGTTTTTGCAGTTAAGAAAGTTATTTATCAAAGTTGCCTTTTATACACCGTGCAAAAAAAATTGAGAGAAATTAATGGTAAAGAGATATTGTTTTATGTAGTGGTTTCCCTAAGGACAATTAGTGGCTAAATGAATTAAGTTCATTAAATTAATATTTGCTTTCCTTCAAACAGAAAAATATCTCTTATATGAATCTTTGTGTGTTTCCAGACTTCACTTTTTGAAATTGGAACAGAGGCTGTTAGCAAAGAGTTTAGGGATGAACTTAAAAAATACCAGAAGCCAGTACCTCCAGTGGTGACTTTGGAACTACTTGAAGACGAAGGTACAGTCAGCCATGTTAGTTTATTGTGTTGATGACAGTAAATGCATCTAAGACCTTTTTTTAATACCACTATCTGCAGTGTGAACCTTCACCACCTTGACGAGCTTCACTTTACTGTACAGTACTTTGTTATAAACATGAAATTTCTTCTTGGTTGTTTTAACTTCAAATTAATTTGACAGTACACATTTTACAATCTCGGTACAGTAGGTATATACAATTAACGAAAATTTCCTTTGAAATTATGATGTTCTTTTGTTTGGATTCTTAGAGCTTTTTAAATAAGTCTTGCATTGAAGAAGTTCCAGCAATCTCACATTCAATACATTTTTTATTGAGAACTTTCCCCCCTCCTACCTGGTGACTTCCACCACTTGGCTCACTTGTAAACAAGATAAGGGAGAGAGTCTGTGATGCTCTTGATTTTGGCCACCAGATGCTTCAGGACTGTAAAAGCCATCTTGTAATATGGAACAGACATAGTTATTGTTCACTGAAATCTTTATTGGGAGTTATATAGTGTTGCATGGATCATCTGGTGTGAAGACAGTGATACAAATTTTGTCTTCCCAAGAATCAAGATACAATTCAGAAGATAAGTATTGACAGGAGGGAAGTTATTCTGGGTGCCACCTTAAAATCAGTTGTCATAAGTCACTGGGTAGGATATTTTGAACTGTACAGGTACAGGTCTACAATCCTTTATCCGAAATCCTTGGGGCCAGAGGCATTTCGGTTTTCGGAATTTTTCGGTTTTCAGAATGGTTAGGTTTTTGTGTGTGTGTGTGTGTGTGTGTGTGTGTGTGTGTGTGTGTGTGTGTGTGTGTGTGTATTAGCCCACCCGGGCATAGATCACTGACCCACATTGGGGCCTGGGGGTCTAAAATATAATAAAAATTATAATAATGATAATAATAATTCATAGGTCTAGGTCGTGTTTCTCACTTTTGATCTTTTATTCATTCTTGTATTTCTTTACTGTATTATTATTTTATTATTACAGTCCCTGTATTATTGTTATTATTATTATTATTAATTTTATTATTATATTTTATTATTATTATTATTATTATTATTATTGTAATCATTATTATTTTATTTTGGTGTATAATTATTAAAAATTTTATTTACTATGAATAATTATTATTATTATAATTATTATTACTATTACATTTTTGCCCCCCAGGCCCCGATGTGGGTCAGTGATCTGTGCCTGGCTGGGCTAATAATCCCTGTAAAAAAAAAAAAATGCCCTACAAAAAACTTTCGGTTTTTAGAGCTTTTCGGTTTTCGGAATTTCGGATAAGGGGTTGTCAACCTGTATTTACTAAATGAGAAACAAGAGTTAACTTCCATGCAAAAAGAATATAATTCATTGGTTAAAAGTGTGTTCTTACATGTATTCAGAAGTAAGTGAGGATACCATCAGTGGAGTGGAACTGGTGCCTCCTGGTGTGAGGGAAGATCTCCGTGCCATTGCCTCTTGGCTCGACAAACACAGCAACACGGATCGACTCACAGTTTATGCAAAGTTACGATCTGATGCCTTGTCACAAAGTCTAAAGGTTAGTTCTTATGTCATGTCAGAAAGATATACAGAAGAATCCCAGTTATCTGTCATCTACGGGTATTGAAAGGTGCTGGATAAAGAGTTTTTCCAATTAGTTGACCTCACTCTAAAGATCCCCCAATAAATCCTACAGTGCTACAGGCTGACCTCGTAAATTCGTGCCTCAGAAAAACGGACTTCTTTAACACTTATTCCACAAGATATAAACGATGTGGCTTAGAAATATAGAAAGTATAATATAAAACTCTACTGTAAAATAAAACAAATGAAGGGTATGGGTGTGTACAGTATGTGTTAGAAGTGAATGTGTGTGGAGGTGGCTATAGCCAAGTCCTTGGCTATAACTGTGTCACCGACTCGCCAGCCCAGCTGCCTCGTATATTGTTACTTGTAATGTAACTCTAAAAGTTTTGGTAAAAATCATTACTATAATGTGGCTTAAAAATAAAGAAAATATAATATAGAATTATAAAATAAGAAAAATGACGAGCATGGGTGTGTATTTGTGGGAAGTGAATTTATGTTGAGGTGGTGGGTTACTGAGCTATAACTGTGGCTGCGCTCCTTCTCGATGTGACGTCACAGCATACACGCAGCCAGCCACATATCTCTGAGTCAGTTGGTTGACTGCCTGAACTGTGTTGCATTTCCCAGAGGATGGATTTAGTGGGAAGGAGCAACTTTTTGTACAGTACGTAAAGTATGTGCTATTGTACTTTTGATATGCTGTGTATCGATTTTATATTTCATTATACTGTAGCAATAAATATAGCAGCTCATCTCTGGTATTGAAACTTACAATGCTACGTGATTTGGAAGAATTTTTATTTATATTTTTATTATTTCATTTTGGTGCCGATTAGTTGAATCTACCAGATGCCTGCTTAACTGGGATTCTACTGTGTTTTGAAACTTGATCTATAGATATTACCTATTGTAGATGTTATTAAAGGCTTAAAGAAGCAGATACCTTAGTTACATGTATAATAATTAGCAGGTTCTTACAAACTCTCGTTCTTTCAATGAATCCATAAATATTATACATAAAATTGCAGATTTTACCATTTGAAATGTAAGACAAAGTAGTGTATAAGAAATAAGGGTATACTGTTGTGGCTGAGTGGATACAACACTTGTCTCTGGTCAAAAGGTTTCCTCATTCAGCCACAGGCCACAATCCTGGTCCATTCAGCTGTAATGATTACCTAACTATACAGTTGGGCAAGTGAATGAGGTCAAGTGCTGTAGTCAGCCATGCTGCCTCTTTGTGTACTGAAGGCTTAGTTGTACCGTATTCTGTATCCAGTGTTCCTAATGGGCCATAAAAGGCTTATTTACTTAACCTTCAACCCTTAGAGCTCCTTAAGCCACTCCAGTAAATTAAATTACTTTACTTTTATATTTGCTTTTATCATCTTTAATTCACAGAACAAAGTGGAAGTAAATTATTTCACATTCACCTATTAATATTTAGGTGGTCTTCAGAATGCTTGTACAGTACCTTCCATGTACACAACTAGGTTTGGTAACTTTCACCATAAATGTCTTTGTTGCTAGTTCTTGGCCTATGCAGCCACTCCTCGACTTACGACCTACTCGACTTTCGACCACCCGGACATACGACCGCCCCAGTCGTACCAAAATGTTTTCAAATTACGTATTTTCGAGTCCCGACGTTAGTGACTGCGCTGTGTACAGACAAAATTTTCGTTTGTAATTCCCTTTAAAATGGCTGGCAAGCTTAAAAGTGAGAGTTTTGTGGTGCTGAGAAGAAAAAGAGACACCCATTTTAGATTTTCTATGTATTATTTTCGCATTTTCGACTTACAACCAATTCGACTTACGACCTGGATTTGGGTGCCTAACCCCGTCGTAAGTCGAGGAGTGGCTGTATAGTACAGTACGCTCGGATAATTCGCGAATTTTTATTTCGTGGTCCTCTATTATTCGCGGATGACACCACCCTGGATGTACCTAAAAATGTCTGTGAATGCTGTGGTTTTAAAGTTGCCAGCATTTCTGCGGCCGGGACAGGGAGCCATTCATTCTAGACAGTAATTTACTTTACCTGTATTGTATATATGTGTGTGTGTGTAGACACACACACACACACACACACACACAAAACACATACAAATAAATAATAATGGGAAAATCCCCTCGTAAATAATTAGAAACAAATGTAGTACGGTATTATAAATGTTGAGTCTACCCTCAAGTCTACCCTGCACTTTGTTATTAATAAAGCACGGATTAGACTTGAGGGTAGACTCAACATTTTTAATACTACATTTGTAACTGATTAGGGTATTTGTGAGAGGATTTTCCCTTTATTATTTATTTGTATGTGTTTTGTGTGTGTGTGTCTACACACAAATACAGTGGTCCCTCGGTTAACGAGCACAATTCGTTCCAGAAGGTTGCTCGTTAACCGAAAAATTCGTTAACCGAAACCATTGTTTCAATGGGTTTTTGGGTAATTGGTTCCAGCTCACTGAAAATTACATACAAACTAAAAATAAATACAGTAAAGTACACTTACTTTGAGGTGTGCATGTAGAAGGCTCCTGGTTGATGATGATGATGATGGGAATTAGAATGGGGGTGGAGGAGAATGGAGAAGAGAAGGCATTGGGGTGGAAGAGAAGTCACCCCATGCCGCCATTTCACTCATAAAATTTTAGATCATTTGGTGTAATTCAAGATTATTTTCTTTAAATCAACACTGCACTGCACCATTATATATTGTCAATATGTAAAATATATTTCAAAATGACCAATAATTTGACTGGAAACACAGAAAAAAAGCGTTTTTGTTGAAGAGTCTCAAACAAGATGTTCCTCCCTCTGAGCTGGTAAACAAGCTGACGCCAAGCTTGGTGTGTTGTGGCTGTTTGGCGCGCAAAAAACTAGTTTCCTATACTGTACTTCAATATGTTCAATAATTGTTAAAATGACTCAAAAAATTAATATAAAACTTTTAAAATTATTGAATAGTACAACCTTCTTGATATTTAGAAAAATGGTAAGGAATTTAAGCCCTAAAACCAATTACTGTATTGGCGGACTAATACTACAGCTGGTGGGCAGCCAAATGCTGGCAAAAACATGTTGGGAAAAATTTGTAAGGAATTCGTTAACCGAGGGTTTGCTCGTTAACTGAAGTGAAGAATCTTATGGAAGGTAATTTGTTAACCGAAATTTCGTTAACCGAGGCGCTCGTTAACCGAGGGATCACTGTATACAATACAGGTACAGAAAAAGAAATAATTGTCCTCAGGGCAAACACATAAAGGGAATACACGTTTCTTTGTACAAGTAAAAATGTACCCCCCTGGTCAGCAAATGTTATTCACGGATTTGGCGATTCGCGGCCATTTTGAGAACCTAACCCCCGTGAAATGGAAGGGTATGCTGTATTGTGATCTTTTTATAAGATATCCTTTTGTTTACATTTAAAATACAGTAGTGGTCAACTTTACTCCCAAGTTGTCGTCGTCTTCCCTCAATTTATGGTTTTGTACAAAAAATCTTTCATGTTTTGGCTCCTTTCCACAGATTGTTTACTTTAACATAATATTAGAGGGGATAGTTTCTGTGAGTGATAAATACCCATATCTCTCTCTTATTATGTTTCATCAATAATCTTATGTTAAGCCTACAATACTACAGTACTACTACAATGTATCTCTAAATTTTTACACATCATATTCACACATGTCACTGAATTTTTATTTCCAATTCTCCAGGCTGTACGAGACTATCAACGGAGCAGCAGTATTGAACGTGGTGGAACACCAGGTTCACTTAATTCCCCAGGGCCCCTTCGTGCCAGAGTAGCAAAAATGGATAGCACTTCAAAGAGTCGGACGCAGAAGATATCTAACAAGCTGAGGTGTGTGAGTACAAGAACATCTGAATGAAAAACAAGAAGAGGAATTGATGGAATGAGAGTATGGGAGAGCTCATTGAAAAATGGAGAAGCAGGGAATTAATGAAGAGGAGTAACTGTACAGGGAGATTAGAAGAAAATTAAAGATTATGTTGAGTAATTGTAAAAGAAGAGCAGATGCAAGAGAAAGACATAGAGGAAGGTCATTACAATATTAGGGCAAGAAGTCCAAGAGAACAAATGATTGTAACAGATAAGAATGAAAGACAGGATACATTGTGGCAAAAAGAGGATGTCAATGGGAGATGGTTAGAATATTTTTAGCTTCTCTTAAATGTGATGTTGTTCTGTTTGGGACTCCGTAAAAGAAGAAAAAATAATAAAGGGAGAGGAAGATGTGAGATAGGCTGTAAATTAGTTTAAGATAGGTAAAATACCAGGAATAGGTGGAAGTTCCTTTGAAAGGTTAGCAATGACAGATGGAAAAGTAATAGAATGTATGACAGAAGGCAGATGACCAAAGGAATGACAGAGGTCATATATAATTTCCCTGTATAAAGGGAGAATTGTTCAGAATGAATGTAAAAATTATAAAGAAATGAGTGTGTTGATTATACCCTGGTACAGTACATGAATCACTACCATTATTATTGAAAAGTTCCCTCAAGGAGCTCTTACCTTAATGGAGTGACCTCTCATAGGATTTTTCCTAAATACTTCTTCACAAACACTTCAAGTGTTACAGACATGTCAAGTAAAACTTGAAGTATTTGGTGAAAACTTTCACAAAATTACACTGTACGTGATTCTCTCCATGATTCACTTGCAATTTGCTTATGAAAAGTATAAGAATAAGTGAAAAGAAGGAGTGTTGCCTCAGCAAATTTACATAAATGGGAAATTGGAAGGAAGGAAGCAGGAAAGGATAGGAAAACATGATAAAAAATTAGAAATTATAACCATTAAAAAGACAGTTTGGATCTAGAAGACCAGATCACCTAGAGGTACAGTACTTCACTGATTGCTACCAAAGAAATAAAACCACGGGAACACGGAATTTTAAATTATGCAATAATCATCACTGGATTCAACATGTTAATTGCTTTTTCTTTTAATTGGTAAGATTTATGGAGTTTCATCTTTTTTTTCAGAGCAAACCGGATGTTGCAGAAAGCAATTACTGGACATGTGTCATCTCGCAGACAAGGTTCTCCTGGACATACTTCGTACTCCCTGCATGGCACCCTCACCCCTCCGCATGGTAGAGTGCAGTAGACTCCTGATTTGCTGTGTAATGCTGGGGAATATTGGTATATTGCAAGTGACATATAAATGATAATTGTCTCAAGTGACAGATGTGAAATGGAAATCAACTTCAGTAGTGGCCTCACATTTTCTTTTCTTTGGCATGGTATTGATGACTTCTGGTAACAGCTATCTTTTTTAATCAATAGAAAAGTTGGAAAATGGTTAATAGCTTCTTTGAGAACAATTAATCAACTTAGCATAGTGCATGGATGGAATCATAAATCATCTTAAATTGGATGGTAACCTCATTTCTTATTTCTGTACTTTAGGTTATCTAATATTGTAGCTTATAAAGAGCAAGCTGGTGAAGAAGGTAAAAGAGCATGATTGTAAAGTGCTTGCTAATTTTTACTCTAAAGCAGGCTGATGCATGCAGAAATATCTCAAGAACTATCACTTGCATCATCACAGGCATCACAGCAGTGTTAAAAATTCAGCAAGAATTTAGGAGATTAGAATGGTGACTGATATAGTACCAGAAAAGATCCTGCTTTTTTATTTGTTGCTGTTACCATGAGGTAAGTGAGGAAAGAAAATGTAAACCTATACATGCAAGTTTTGTTGGAAGATGTGATGTAGTCAAGTCAATTTGACCAAGGACAGCTGACAAAGCCATGAGATGCTTGTTTCCAGATGAGTCCTTATGCCAACAGCATCTGGTCACTCATCCAATTACTAACCAGACCCAACTTTGCTTAACTCTCTGATTGGACAAGAAGCGGTGTTTCCAGCTTGGTACTACTCTTATAGATAGCCATGTAATAGGAATATGCTTTAACATAATTACTATGAGAGTGCATGTAAGTAGATACTGTTCTTTGAGTTGAATATCAAGTGAGAAGTATAGATAAAATAATAATAAGTGTTTAGAGGAGTGAATAATAACGGCAGAGACTTGAAAGTACCTGTAATTAATGTTATAAAATTAATTTGCCAGTAGTAACCAGAGAGTTTACTTTTTAGATATGAGGGACTAGGAAAGACCACTGTTAAACTGGAAGATTAGAATAAGGATATATTGTGTTAAAAAAGGTCTTAGAATGCAGGAGTTAGTAAAAATTTACTAATTTGCAGATTGTCAAGGAAAAATCTGAACATGAAAACTGGTACATGGTAAGACAGAACATGGTGGACATAGAAAGTGTAGAAGTGCATGAACTGGAAGCTACTATTGGCAGTAAAGAATGCTTTACTAATTAAAAGAACATAAGGAACAATTTTTTTAGAAGTTATAAGCACAAGTGGTGCCTAAACTTATATTGAAGTAAACTTCATTTGTCACCTTGCTAACAGGGCAAAACATACATCTGTAGTTGTAGATAGTTTGAGTAGACTAATAGTGTTGAAGACCTCAAGCAACCACAATGCACACCTGAGCATTTACATGCATATGTGTTCATTCTTTCTCTTTGCTTGGAAGAGATAAGTCTTGAAACTGGCTGTTAACCACTACTGTACATGGTTAAAAGTTAATGTTTATAATAATGGAAGTGTAGATGTGTAAAAGTACATAAGTTACTACCCCAGTTTTAGGAGTGCACATTAACTTTGTACTTAACAGTATAACATTTGAGTATTAGCAGTGCTGTTACTAATCCAAATCCTGCAAATGTTTCTGGAAATTACCACTAAACCACAACCTTCACTACACTTCTGCTGGCTGAGAGTAATGGAGAATTTTCCCTCACATTTCGTTTAGTAAATATTCAGTAAACCTTTGCTTTGACTTTTCCACAAGTATACTTAATCCATAGATTGTGTTACATTTGTTTAAAAGATTAAATATTTTTTACCATTATTGAAATACTGTATATTGTTCTAATGTAATGTGTTTATTTTTTTATTTATTTTTTTATTTATTTTTTCACAGCAACAACACCTGGAACAGTTGGTGAAGAAGGCCTTGAAGATAGTGATGTTGAACTCTATTTGAACCAGGTGCAGTAAATACCTGTATTTTGATATTTGTGAGTGAATGATTTGAAAGCATTGTGTTAAGTGGTGCATGATTGAGGATGGACAAGTTGTTGTGTTGTGATGTTGGATTGTAGAAATTTAATAGAAACAAGCCAGATAGATATTTTGGAGCCTTATTGTGTATGTGCATCACTGTAATGGAACACTTCTGAGAGTCATCAGTTTCATCTTATTGCTCAAATTATCCACCTATGTTATGTGTGTAACTGTATGTATGTATGAGATACCTTGACCAAGATTGTTATAATGTTAACCCTTGAAGGAGTAGTGTTGTTGCACCTATATTTTGTTCTGGATAATGCAGAACATTTAATCAGCTGAGAGAAATCCTTACCACTCAATAAGTTAATAAAATTCAGTAATACATGTACACTTGGTAAAAAAAAACTACCATACAGGTGGGGTCCGATGATTTTCCAACTGAACCTTCCCGTTGTCTCATGAGGGTTGGTAGACCTGAATGTGAGACATTTCGTACTTAATTTGGTAGGCCAAAATTAGCTATTTCATTGACAATATTGAATTACTTTGTTACAATATGACTGGAGAATGTCAGTATATTTAGATAAATTAAACTGCATGTTATTTTAATGGCAAAATTAGTGGATAAAGTAAAGGTATAAGCTTTTTTTGCAACCAAATTTTGAATCTGTATTTGTATTGCTACTTCACTTTGGACTAATGCCACATTGTCATTCTTTTTTTTTATTGGAAATTATACCATGCTGCTCCGAAACATCTGAATAGCTTCACAGTTTCGTATGTCGTCATAATGGAACCCGGCCTAACGACGTTTTACCATACGGTCGATAATTCCGGAAAGTCTAGTACTGGGTTTTGTTTCAGAGTGCCGACCACGTGTGGCTGAACCCATACACGTGCAGGGCTACCAATGTGAGAAATGCCTCGGGGGGGGGGGGCCTTTTTGAAACACTTCGTTTGTAATGTCAGTTTGTATCGAGCAGGAATTGTAACGGTAGTTTTTTATCGAGTGTACAGTAATTGAATAACTTGAAGACTAATTTTTATTTACCCGGTATTTATTTTAATTTTTTTCCCTTAATAAAGTCTGTGTGTAGGAGTGCAGTGGTCGAGTGGTACAGCGCTCGCCTCTTGTTTGAGGGGTCGGTGGTTCAATTCCTGGGCGCTCCCAATTTCACCTGGATGTAGATGGGTGCCTAAGTTTACAACTTGGGAAAGAGAATGCGGTCAAGAGCAGTACCGGCCATGCTGCCTCCTTGTGTACCAAAGGCTTAGTATACTGTATACAGGGTGTATTGTGCTGTATCCACACTGTTCCTAACGGGCAGTCATGCCTATGGGACCCGCTTTCACTTCTGTGTGTGTGAGAGAGAGAGAGATAGTAACTGAAACAAATGGGAATAGATCTCACTATAGCCAATCTTGGTGTGTAGATGTTGCACAACATGATCTCAGATGAACTTCATTGTTGGTGATCTCTGTCTTTGGATATACTTGTACGTATTAGGAAACTACTGGTATAAATGTAAAGCTTATATGATACAGATAGATGCCTCATGTAATATACTATACAGTAGAAGTCTAAAATCCGGACTCCTTGGGGATTGGGCCAGTCCGGATTTTCGAATTTTCCGGATTCTCAGGCATTACTTTTAAAATTCAAATTTAAGGAGGAATAAAGAAGAGATGAACAGGAAACATTTTGAAAGTTTATTCATTAGCAAATATAGCATGCTTCATTTATCAAAATGAGCAGTTTTAAAGAAAAAGCTGTGAATTCTAGAATTTTATTCTTTGCCTTTTCTATATCATAAATTGTAGACTTTCCAATGTCGTATGTTTCCATTAGAACAGTATTGCTCATACCACGTTCTAGTTTCTTAATTATTTCAAGTTTGTCACTCAATTTCAACGTGTTCTTCTTTCTCTTCACACAACGAAGTTTATCTACTTTAGGAGCCATTATTATGGGCTTGTACAGTACTCTGTAAATGGAAAGAGTAGGACTCAAAATTACATACGTTGTCACAGTTTGATTGCTCGTTTTAAAGTGGCGACCGCGTGGTCGCTTGTTGTCGCCAGGGTTGCCAGATGTACGACAAGCTTCACGGCCAACTTCACGCAATCTCACGGCCAAATCCGCCAAAACTTTTTGGATGGGAAGCACAAGGCTATTTTTGCAATCCACACAAAATAAAAGTATCCCCTACAATATCCACTTAAAATGTCGCAATAAAACCAAATTTTCACTTAGAATAGAGGGCCCAATAATTACATAAACATAATATCTATAATCTACAGTGAAGATTTACCTTAATCTGAAATGGTGGTGGAGCATGATAATGGTGGAGAACTTGATAACACAAGTTGGCGTAAGCAAAAACGTCTAGTTAGTCATCGTCACCTGGTTTGTTATATTTTGTACCACTGTCGTAGGACCCTTTCCATTTACTAGTGGACATTTTAAAAACTAGCACTCGGAATTTCAGAAAGTAACTCAGATGGCTTTGTAAGCTCTGAAGCTTAACCCATATGCTGGACACATTCAGCCTGAACAACTCAAATATGAGAACTAACAACTAAGGTAGTAACTAGAAAGATCAGTCAGCTCAGTAGGTCACGTAAACATGTGAAGAGGTGAGGTCACTGTTTAGGTGAGGTCACTGAGCCAGCATTTTCATTGTGAAATTTGAAAATCTGCTAGACTTCTCTTCAAAATCCACTAGATGAATTAATACGTGTTTTACAAAATTCGGCCAAATAGTTTGGCCGTAACCATCCACTTTTCCACGGCCGTGGAAACGGCCATCTGGCAACCCTGGGTGTCGCTGTGCAGCTGTTGCGCTCACACATGCGCACATACACACAAAAGCCCTCTAAATTAAAAAAAAAAAGTTTGAGTTTTCGAAAAGTCCAGATTCTCGGGTGGTCCGGATTTCTGGCATCCGGATTTTTGGACTATTACTGTAATCCATTTTTAATGAAGGTCCTTGATAAGTTTGAATTTGTCTAATGCATTAAGAGTCTCTAATCAGGAATTTGATTTGTGATAATTATGCAGTACAGAGCGATGAAGAGAATGTGTAAAATATTTTGGAAGGGAGTTTTTACAGTTTAGAGAATGTCAGACCTGGTACATATTTATTTGTTTACAGGTTACTGCACTCCATCGACTAGCCTTTGCAGAATTCCTTCTGGCCCAACAACTAGTTCCAGAGGACAGGGTCACACGTACATTTGAGCTTATTCTCAGAGACCCAATGGATCAATTGGTTGCTGAAGGAGAAGTATGATTTAATGTTTGTTTTATAGTTGATTCGGCCTGGAAATTTAGTTGTTCAAAATACTGTACCTCTTCTATATTAGACCCAGTTTGAAGAGTTCTACAGTGTGGTGATATACTGTCTACATGGATTTTTTTTCTTGTGCCCACTTTTAAAAACAAATTTTCACTCAATTTGTATCAGAGTTTGGCTGGCCTAGCACGAAGGAGTGTCAGCAGAGGAGATCATCAAGCAGTGCTTTCAGTTTTAGCAATGCTTCGTCACGTCACTAGCATGCAGCCTGAGTATGATCGCCTGCTGACAAACTGCCAGACATCAATACGTTCAAAATTTGCTGCTATTATAAACATGTTACAAGAAACTGTAAGTGAAGTATCTCAATTTTATTTTTGCCTTTACCTTTGAAGTTGCTTTAGTTAATTATAGTACTACAATATAATGTACGGTACTATAATTACCTGGAAATCTCTTGATTCAGCAAAATGTCATAAATATCAAATTGACTTCTCTAAGAATTTTGTATGATTAGCTTCAGGAAATTTAACTTCTCTGTAAGACTTCATGAGAGTTTTTAAAGTTTGTACAGTATTTGCCTCTTAAATACAAATGTTTTATTATGTACTTGTCTCTTAAATACTCACTGTTTCCTCCATTCAGTGTGTCAAAGCCCTAGAGGGCTTTGTAGAGAGTGTAAAAAGTGATGGAGAGAGAGCCTTACCAAAAGATGGGACAGTCCATGAGGTTACAAGCAATGCTCTCATCTTCACTGAACAGCTCCTGGAATATGCCATCACGTTATCACCAATGCTGCAGCGTGACCTAAGCCTAAGTGCATCATTATCTAATTTACCTCGAGGTTTAGATCAATCTCTTACAGCAAAAGCACTTTTGGGAGCTTACATTAGTAAGTATTTAATTAGACTCATTATTAACTTTAAACTATATTTAGTAGTTACGGGTAATTAACCTTCATCCATATTTGTATTAAACATTTGACCCTGTGCAGAAATTTTGATTAGTCTTGTGTTCTTGATTGTTTTTTATTATTATTATTACAGTATGACAATTTTTTTCAACATCTATCAGAGGTCTGATGTCTTTTGCCTTCTATACATTTATTTTAGTGTAACTTAAAACTCTCTTTATAATTTTTTAGAGAATACAGCTCTCAGAAAAGCTTACTGGTAGGTTCAAGATCACTTTTGATGATTCCCTTAGATATGCTAAGAAAATATATAAAAAATTATTGTAGTTGGATTCTCATTGCACCCTTCCTCAGTTAATTACTCAGAATAATTTTTAGCCCTTTTTTTTCCATGGGCTTTGTCTTCATTTACAATTTTCCCTGGGCTCTTTTATTTCAATTACCCATGTAGAATTTCCTCATACATTACTCTACTGTGCCATTTAATACCCTGCTTGAGCTCACAATTCATTCTTTTCTCTAATCCCACACTAGTTCTTAAATAGGAAATCTCGTTTTGTTGCTATTAAGTTTTCAGTCATATACAGCCATCTCTCGATTTACACGGTACAGTCAGTTCTGCTATAACGCGATGGTTGTGTTCTTGTAAAACATCGTGTTATAGAAATTCGCGTAATAGAAATAACAGGGCTTATGGAGAAAATAGGGTTAGGTGCAGATTACTACTCGAAATCGAAAAATTTTTAGTAGTTAGCCTAACACAAAGGATAGCACAGTATAAATAAATGTTACATTCATATCTAATAATGAAATCATACAGTAAATGTAACACTTTACCTTGAAAAAATATGAATATAACTTGATGGGGGAGAAGGGTGATTTTGAGGTTGATAACATCGAGCTTCTCTTCAAGGGTTATAGCCTTTCTTTTACGATCATCACCGGGAATGCGATCACCAGAACGCTTCTTTACCATATTCACAGTTAATGCCACAAAATTGGAGAAATAATAAGCAAAAATCGTGTTACAGCAAACAAGTGTTCGCGTTATACAAATATCGTTCCTCTATTCATAAATCGCGTTAGAGCCAATTCACATTGTCAAAACACGCGTTATAGCAGAACTCACTGTAGTTACGTTCTTAAAAATGGCCGTGTACAATTAAAAAACGTGTATATCAAACTTAATTATCCCATAAGAAATAAAGGAAATGGCAGGTTTTAGGGGAGATGCTTCCTAAAAAATTTAATTTATTTATCTATTTCCTTCACTGTGATTTATTTACAGTAATAACGTAATGAAAATATTACAGTAATACAATAATAGAAACAAACTTAATACCCGTTTATACTGTCGTAAGAAAATTTATTTTCAATAAAAATTTGTGCTAACACTTACGTTGAAGTATGGCTTTGATGGCGTGCAGGAACTGTGAGTGTCATATGGTACTGAACTACTCTGCCTGGCACAATGGCAAGCTTTTCAAAACCGTGCTACAGTATTTAAAATTTTTTTATTTTTTTTAAATGGGTATTAATTTAATGGTAGCATTATTTAAAAATTGCGCAAATTAAATTTGTGTGAATCAAGAGGTGACTGTACAGTACTGTACTTCAGTTTTAGATGTAAATGTCGACATGTGGATAATGTAGTTTATTGTTTGGACAAATGGTTATTGAATGGTTATTGAAGATATGGATGATACGTTATTAAGACTGTGGTTAAATGGGTATTGAAGATGTGGATGAGTGGTTAATGAATTGACCTTGGATTTCAAAGTCTCTGGATTGAGCCCCAGGCCGTTTTAGTAAATAAGGGCCCTTGTCACACATACTTGAGGGAGGCTGTCCAAAAGTAAATACCTTTACAAAGTAGCTTGTTAAGTAAGGTAAATTGTTGGGTCAAAGTAAATGTTATTATAATGCCTCTAATACTGTACAGGTGTTCTGTTATGGCACTCCTGTTCTACAACAAGATCCCAAATCTGGTTTATCCTTGTCATTTCACACTCATCAGCATTGCCCTTCAGCAGTAGTTCCCCACAAAATCACTTAAAGCCATGTATTTTTTCTCTCATTAACACACACTTCTATTTTGTCCCTTCACCCCATCCATCCAGCTCCTTCTTAGTCTTCTCCTCTCCCCCTTCACCCCATCCATTCAGCTCCTTCCTAGTCCTCTCCTCTCTTAGTCTTCTCCTCTTCCCCTTCACCCCATCCATCCAGCTCCTTCTTAGTCTTCTCCTCTTCCCCTTCACCCCATCCATCCAGCTCCTTCTTAGTCTTCTCCTCTCCCCTTCACCCCATCCATCCAGCTCCTTCTTAGTCTTCTCCTCTCCCTCTTTAATATATATACTGTACCTTTTTGACCAATCATTCACTTCCCATTCTCTCAGTACTGTTGTAAGGGGGAGGGGGGAATCAGTTTTGTTAATAATATTTCTTTTTCATCCTCTTATTAATTATTACATACATATGTGTAAGAGGAGATATTTTTTCTTTTATATAGTTATATTGTTTTCTGTTTCTCTTTTCTATTCTGTTATATTATATTACAACTTCTCTATCATTTTCTTTAATTTCCGTGTTTATGTTTTCTGTCGTATATAAGCTTTTTTAATTTTCTTAGTTGCAATATGTTATTTAATTTTCTATATTTTTCTAAGTCTTTATTTCAGTATGCTTATTACTTTATCTTCTGTATTTTACTTTTCTTACTTATTGTTTATTTCTTTCAATGTCATTTGTTTCTTATATTTTCCTCTTATTCTTTCAATATTTATCAATGCTTAGTTATATTCTATACAATAGATTAACATGAGAAAACCATATATTCTTTAACAACACTTATTAATATAATTATTATAATTACAAGGTAGACTGCCACCACCCAGGCTTTTATTAGAATATAACTACAGTCTCTCCTCGACTTATGACATTCTCGACTTACGACAACCCGGACATACGACCGCTGTGGTCGTATAAAATATTTTTCACATTACGTATTTTCGAGTCCCGACGTTAGTGATCGCGCTGTGTACTGACAAAATTTTCGTTTGTAATTCACTTTAAATTGGCTGGAAAGCATAAAAGTGAAAGTTCTCGTGGTTCTGAGAAGAAAAAGACACCCATTTTTTAATTTCTATTTATTATTTTTGCCTTTCCGACTTAGGACCTGGTCGTCGGGATGGAACCCCGTCATAAGTCGAGGAGAGACTGTAGTTTCATTAAGGTGTTTGGTAGCGTGGTAGACGAGCTTTTAGGCATGTGGGTTACAGTGTTTATTTTCTGAGAAGCAATTGTTAGAAGGGAAGGAGCGGTGATACCCACAACTTACTAATTCAATATTTATTAAAATCAAAAGTGAATAAGATAACAATTTAAACACACTCAGAACAAGAATAGACCACTAGGTCTTACTCTAGAAGTAACAAAATAGATCTTCGATTAAGATTCAACATTTTATACCTCCTTAAGGGTATTACATTATTTCTTTGACATTAAGATGGTCATTTTAAATATTTGCTAGTAGCACAGATATTAATACATTAATTACAAAATCATGTTATTTCTGAATGAACAACATGGAACATGTACCAGTTCTCAGTTGGGAGTACACATTGATGGTTTACTCACAACACATATAACAAACTTTAATACTGGTAATATCAATATTTATGGTTTCCATACTCAACTTGGGACAATTATATTTCTGCTAACTATCCACAATCATGTACAACAACACTACTTTGCACATATAACTGAGATTAGTACACCAGACTCACATCGCTGGTGTTTATTACAACAAATGAAGCGTGCTAGTAACGTCGGTTAGACTGACGCGCGGCTAGAGAGCTCGTTCTCCCGGGGGTAGCTCCCAGCGCGTCATTCTCGCTGAATTAGAAACATCCTGCTTTGGACATCTCGCTGGTAGGCAGCTACCAGCCCCCAGTAGCTGCGGGTATTCAGCTACAACACACTGTGCCTGACATATGATGAGGAAGCTTCAAAAAGTTGTTTCAAAAGTCTAAACTCAATTACACACAATCATATGTCTGGCATCGACACAGATGATACTTATGTTACATTAATTCTTACTTGTCACATGAGGATTTCACTATGTTAAAACATGAACACTGGTATTCCAAAGTTCAACCGAGTTAAATTCACTTAATATGGCGGGCGTGAGGCACTTGTTACATATCTGAGATACGATGTGGGAGAGTCAGAAAGTGATTCTCTCCCTCGTGCATGCATTTATATACTAGGTAACTGGCAACTCAGGCATGCCAAATGGGCAATTCATGCATTGACATACACTTCATTTAAATCAGTTGCTGTACATTTGGCCAAGAAAATCAGTGTCATGGGTCAGACCAATTTCTTATACAAGTATCTATTATTACAATCTAATCAGAGTTGGAGCTTGTCAGGCAATTGTGAAAGAGACGTGAAACGCACAAGCTGATAACGTCTTTCTTACGACCTCATCAAAATTAGGCAAGGGCCTTCTGAGAGTTTGCCATTAGATCTTGGAGATAAGAAGACCGACATATTCTTTTGGGGATATTAATTACTTCTAAAATATAAAACTGACAATAATTTTAATACAAACATCAGATTCTCTGATGATCGGGAATCAAAATGATCTAACTTCAGTATCAGTTAGAAACTCGGGCATCCCCAAGGACTATGTCAGGAATTCGTCACTTCTACTGGCAGACTCTACTCTGACTTATTCGACAATTTTACTAACAGTAAATACAGTTGAAGCTTTCAACATCGCTCACAAGGGATCTTGAATGTTTCATCTGTAATCATTCATATCTAATTCAATGTAACACAGGTGTGTTCTCTCTCAATTTCAAATCACTGAACACGATATGAAGTATGAAGAAATATTAGAGTCTCTGAGGTACACGAGAGAAAACGGAGGATTCAGGCATACTGAAGCGGTGAGAAAATGGACGTCTCAACTGGGGGACTCAATAAAAAAGTTATAGCTACATGTTTTATGGGCTACTGAGTGCAATATGAATCGTCTGATTTTACGCTAACTGACATGTACGACCGTGGTCAGTACACTATACTCACATCACCCAAGGAGACCCTGATCTGCTCATTGCCAAAAACTTTTTTCATGTTCACATCTTATTTTTGTAGTTCTTGTCTTTATCTCTTTATCCCATACATTGATCTCATGCACATCATTTCTGACACTTAATATTTGCTCTTTACTCTTCCTTTTTTAGAATTGATGCCTCATACCATTACAGTACTGTATAAAGATTATGGCTCAATAATTCCGCATGTTTAGCCATATTTAACAAGATTCTCTCCCTCTATGGAACTCTCAGGCCACCTATAACATGTACAGTACAATACTTTCTTTTCTTTACTGTATTTGATTTATTTATATAATTTATTTTCTTCCAGAAAGAGTGCTGGTAAACTTGGGCTTGGCTTTGGTAAGTCGTAGTGAGTCCTACAGTGATGGTACCCTGAAGGCAGTGTTCCGTCTCAACAATTATAACTACATACTCAAAACCCTTCACAGCTCCGAGCTACTGAATCTGGTTGCGCTGGTTGAACCACAGTGTGACAAGATGTACAATGATCAAATAATGGAGCAAAAAAGATTATATTCTCAGAGGTAAATAAGTTTGTATTAATTACCATAAGTCATTGTAATGTAGACTAGGATAAGGCCTAATTGGTTACTGATATACCTGTACAGATCAATATATCTGTTTTATATTTATGTGTATTTTCTCATTTAAATCTTGATAATGTACATGCTCAAAGTCTTCTTAAAACATATTTATTGTTAATGATTGTCTCTCCTTCAAGGGTCAAAGAATAAACACCATTAGTTGAATTATTTGCTGAAGAACTCTGTATGTTCACATGTCAGTAAATGAATCACTTGCCACATGTATTGTACCGTACAGTAAACCCTTGCTATTTCCGGGGGTTAGGTTTTAAGGAGTGGCGTGAATAGGCAAAACCACGAATAGCACCTTATACTACCTTAATGCACTACTGTATGCCTATACTGTGTATGAGAAACTCAAGTTGCCAATGCCTTCATATGTGGAAGTTGGAGCTCGATGAAGTGTACTGTACAGTGCGATAAAATCTGGTTACTGATGCATAGGGAGATCATCAGGATCACTGTTGGAAGAGGGTGATGCATTTGTGGTTGGTGGAGAGGCAGGTGGTGGACAGGAGCATGGCTGGGTGGTGGAGGTGGCGTGTGGCGGGTAGGTGGGTGGTGGGTGGTGGAGCGGCGGCAGCAGCTGACTGAGTAGGTGAGGAAGATGAATCACCTGGGTGAGCGGCTGGTTCTTTCTTGAAAAACATCATGATAGGTAGTTGTTTCTTCTTGGCTTTGAGGTCTATAAAAATTTCCTGGAAGGGAACAAATGCCTGGTTGTATTCTCGGACTATCTTAGGGCTCCATTCCATGGAAGGGTCGTGGTCAACAATGAAATCAGTTACCACCTTCACATGTCGAAATAGTTCACCAAAGTTGTTCAAGCCCCAAACTTCTTGTTACCGTTCAATAATTTCTTCCTCTTCATCATCCAAAGCACTTCTTACCAACTCTTTCAAATCCTCATCTGTCGGTTCCTCTCCATACCCATCAATCAGTTCTTCCACTTCTTCAGCAGCCAATTCCACAAACTACCCAATGGACGTGCAACACATCCTTTACTATGGACGGAAATCCCTAGAAGTTATTAATACACTCAAGCCATAGGTCTCACCAACAAGCATTCACTGTCTCTGGTTTTAGTTCACTGAACGATTCACTGATGTTGGTAATGCAGTCTGCAAAGTTGTATTCCTTCCAACACTTGCTAACATCAAGGTTAGGGTCCACGTCCATGGCACTACGCATACGACCAAAAGAGCGGCGGGTGTAAAATGCCTTGAAGTTGCATATTATTACACCCTGATCAAGAGGCTGAATAAGAGCAGTAGTGTTAGGGGGTAAGAACATCACCTCTACACCTGGATGGCTAAACTGCAAACTTTCTGGGTGGCCTGGTGCATTATCTATGACTAATAGCACCTTGGAAGCAAGGTACTGTTCCACTTCCAGATTTATGGAACCAATCCAGGAATGTTTGCACAGTTACCCATGCCTTTTTGTTGGTTCTTGATTTTTCCTTTTAAAGCCCTAAGGTTTGCTGAGTGGCAAACCAAGCCAGGTTTGATCATGTGGCCAGCCGCACTTCCACAGAAGATAAGCGCCACTCTGTCTTTGGCTGCCTTGAACTTAGGGGCACATCTCTTCTGCTTGTTAATGAAGTTCTACCAGGCATCTTTTTCCAATATAGACCAGATTCATCTGCATTAAAAACATGCTCCGGTCTATAGCCTTTCTCTTCTATTATTTTCCTTAATTTCATTGGAAGTTCATCTGCTGCTGTGTGGTCAGCTGATGTCAGCTTTACATTATGGAGAGAGAATCTTCTCTTAAAATTCTCGAACCGAAAGCTTGTTCAGTAGCCGCTTAAGCCCCTCACATTGCTGTCGATCGACAAATTTTTGCAGTGCTGTTCCGCAATCCAAATGTTCAATGCTTTTTCTGTTTTCACAATTTTCTTGTCACGAACAATCTGCTCTGCTTTAGCACTTGCAGGAGTACTCGCTTTAACAGAATCATGGATTGCTTGTTCATTCTTCTATATATATCGCACTGTGGATTCATTCACACCAAACAACCGACCATCTGTGGCAGCACTCATCCCCTCTTTTAACTTGTCTAATAATTCAACTTTCTTTGTCAGGGTCATCATTGACTTCTGCCTTTTATGTTTCATTGACACTAGGCAGTCTTTTAGGGGTTATTTCACACAGAAACACTAAAGTTTTGAGTACAACACAAGAGATGTTGCGTTGCAGGCAATGGTTGAGCGCAAACAAGGGTAAGGACGGAGAGGAGACGTTGTGGGCACATGGGGGTGACTCGCTGAGCTGCGGGAGAGGCTCATAAGCTAGCCACCATCTGCTTACCGTGAATCACAAACCTGCAAATAGCAAGGGTTTACTGTATACTGTGAAATAGGAATGTAATTAAAGAGATATCACAGTACAAAAATTTAACAAAAATAATGGAGAGAGATTCATCAATAACTTCTGATTATCCTTCATGTGATACAGTTGGAGTCGTGTTCTGCATTACTTAGTCAATCATGAGGATGTTCCGCTCTCAGTCATTCAAGCTGGCAAATTACGTGACAAAGATCGACAGCTCATCAAAGATAAATTTGCAGTAAGTTTTTTTTATACATATTTACCTGAATGCTTGCCTGCTAAATTTATGTTCATTGGTAAGTAAGAAAGGAATGACTGTACCTGTACTGTTGTTTCTGAATAAATTATTTGAATGTACAGTATACTATACCTGTACTGTACAATGGATGGATGTGCTGTGCAAATGTGAATACTGTATCTTTATATGGGATATATTCATGCATAATGTATTGTCTAATGGTAGATCCTGCTGCCATATGACATCACAAAAATTTTGACCAAGTCCCATTTTTTTTTTTTTTTTTACAGGGATTAGCCCACCTGGCCTGGGGGCGAAAATGTAATAATAATAAAAAAAAAAAATAATAATAATAATAAAAAAAAAAATAATAATAACAATAATTCATAGTAAATAAATTTTATAATAAAAAATAAAAATTTGAAAATAAAATACTAAAATAATAATAATTATAATAATAATAAACAACAACACTGTAATAATAATGATAATAAAATAATAATGATAATAATAATAATAATAATAATAATAATAAAGAACCATAAAGAAACACAAAAGTGAGAAACAACATACTGTATGTATGTTGTGTTGTCAATAGTACGAGAAACAATTGAGACCCTGCAATTGTGTGTAAATGAGGCAGAAAGTCAGATCAGCAACCTGGAACTTGGTCACAATTTTCGTGATGCCATATGGCAGCAGGGTCTACCATTAGACAATAGATTATGTTTCCAATATCTTCCCAGGCGGTAATACTACCTCTCTTACACACCTCATTTACACACAATTGCAGGATCTCAATTGTTTCTTGTACTATTGACAACACAACATACATACAGTATATTGTTTCTCACTTTTGTGTTTCTTTATGGTTCTTTATTATTATATTTTTTAACAGTGTTTTTATTATTATCATTATTATTATTTTATTTCATTTTTTATTTATTTTTTTAAATTTTATTTACTATGAATCATCATCATCATCATCATTAGTATTACCGGGTATTATTATTATTATTAATATTATTATTATTATTATTATTATTATTATTATTATTATTATTATTATTATTATTATTATTATTATTATTATTATTATTATTATTAAAATTTTGCCCCCCAGGCCCCGATGTGGGTCAGTGACCTGTGTCCGTGTGGGCTAACCCCCGTAAAAAATAAAATAAATAAAATAGAATTGCCATTTTCCTATACCTGTACCCTGTACTGTATGTAAAAAGGAAAATACAAATATTGATACGGTATGTTCAATACTCACTTTTAAAATGTGCAGTGGTACCTTTTCTTGTCCTCATACATTATTTAATGGTGTACCACAGTAATACTAATACCCCAGTTAGCTCTCAGGATACATTCCTAGAAAATGGAATGCTATCCGAAACAGAACTCGACAGGGTTATTATACCATTGCATATTGCGTTCCTGGTGACATTATTTCTTACCTATGAGATATACAATATTCATTATTGTATATGATGGGTACTTATGTTCACATTTCTGAATCAAATTTACAGGGCTTCAACAAAGAAATGGAGGAGATGTCAAAAGTTCAGCGTAGTTATTCCATCCCTGACCGAGAACTACGAGAGAGCCTGAAGAGGGACAACATGGAATACATACTACCAAAGTACCAAGCATTTTATGACAAGTAAGTTAGCAGGACAAAGTTGGACTTTAATCATAAATGAATAATCTCATGTTCAGGTTTTTCCCTTTTTATCCCCAAACTTTTGGTTTTGGGGGAGATCTCATTCATATATCCATACCAGATTTTGTTTCTGCCTGATCACTTGGCTTAGACTAATGGATTTATTTTGGCTTTGTTGGGAAAGTGTATTACAACAAGTTCTTGCTTGTAATATACTTAAATTTTTGTTATTCAACTTTCAACATAGCTCACATTGCACTTTCACTTCATTGTCCATGCAATACGTTTCTCTCAAAGTTAACCTCGGCTAAAGAAAATGCATTGAACAGTACCATATATTTAAGTTAAAGCTACCAACTGTTTATTTAAATTTTTAGAGAACAGATTGTATCTAAAGCATCACCTTATTTTGATTGTGGAAATTGGCCAAACCAAACACAAAGATGGAAAAATAATTTATTTTCTGTTTTCTTCCTCAGGTATGTCAATGTTGCCTTTACAAAGAACACTGAGAAGTACATTAAGTACTCTCCAGCAGCTGTTTCAAGCATGGTGGATAAGTTCTTTGATGTTGCTGCTTAAACTGAAAACACCTCTTCAACCTATTGATCTTATGCCTGTGATTGTGTAATAATGTATACCATAATATAATGGATTGGTTATGTTATGCGAGGAAATAATGGTACATTTTGTAAATATCAAGACACTGCAAACAACCTATTACCTTTTTATGTTATAATTTAGCACTGTATGGTTATGTCCTGGTGGCTGAGAAGGTTTAACTTATCTTACAGCTTTATGTAACATCTGCCCATCATTGTACGCACCATAGACTGGGGTAACTTACTAACCTTTGTCTCTCTGGGTGGGGATACAAATGATTATCCCGTCACTTAAGTTCCACCAATGTTTGACTTCCTTTGCTTTCTTTACGACACAGAGAGTTGATTGGTTACTTGTTCGTAAATGAAGTAAAACACCCATCAATAAACTCACAATAGTGTTTTTCTTTTCATATTTGATATAATGGAATTCCTTGGGTGGAAACTATGAAAAAAGAATGGTGGTACAGCAATAACTTTTATATCTCTTATCACTATGCCCTGAGTTCAATCTCAGGCCTGGAACAGATGTGAGAAGGTTGTTCTCCAGGTATTCCAGTTTCCTCCTGAACTAACACCGAACAATGAAGGTTAAAACAAAAACCGGACCCACCATCTGGTGGTAAAATGATAAATGAAAAAAATAAATATATGTAAGTGAAAAGAAAAAATAACAGTTTGCCATTATGACATCATAGGTTTACCAATATATTTACACTGTATAAATTGTAACAGTTGTTAAGTTGCCCAAAACTGACTGAGTATAGTTGATAAGATCACTGCCTTAACACTACAGCATTCCCATATACAATATTTTCTCTCGGTTGTTAGTACAGAGTAGTGGATGAATGGAACAAGTTACCAAATATTATCATTAACTTGAATACGCTGGATAGCTTCAAACATAGGTTGGATGCTCATATGAGCAATAGGGGTTGGGTGTAAATGGGACTGCCCAGTATGGGCCAACAGACCCGCTGCAGTTTCCTCCATTCTTATGTTCTTATGATAAAGTAGACGAGTGACGAATATTTATCTGAGGGAAAAATCATGTGAAATAACTAATTTCCTCTATATAAGTCGTTTATGTATTTTTTTTTGAGTAGCAACATTTTTCAGTCACAAATTTTTACGGTAATACGAGTGAAGAAATAGGACATATTACTATTACCTTAACATTACAAGTGAGCAATATGTAAAGAAAAATCCTTTACACCTGGCAGCGATGTTCAGATTTTGATAATTTTACTTTACAGATACACGATTATTAAAGTTCTTTTTCGAGTTTTGTATATTTTGTTGAACAACTAAGTAGGTGGTCAGAGTAACGTTTTACCAAATCCGGCTTCGAAACACGAGGATCCATATATATTTCATTAGCCCAATAAAGCACGCGGACTTCTACATACAATCAACACCTCAACCCGCCAGGATTCGAACCCACGAGCCCATGACTGACCGGGGAACGCTACTGTAGTGGATTTCTCCCCTACAAACACTGTTTGTCGCTGAGTAGCCGACCCCACCAATTCCCCAGTGTATGCCTCGTGGTCTAGGTCAACCAGCGCCGCCATACATCACGGAGCGGGGGTCAACTACTAAACCACGCCTACCCCCGCTATTTAAGACCTGACCTCGTGGTGACCTGTCCTCTTTCTACCTACACCAACCAGCCAGCAACACCTCCTCCGCCGCTGCCTGGCGGCCCTCGCTCCTCCTCCGCCTGCCTGGCGGCCCTCGCTCCTCCTCCGCCTGCCTGGCGGCCCTCGCTCCTCCTCCGCCTGCCTGGCGGTCCTCTCTCCCGCCGGCGAGCATGGCGACCCACAAGCTGGTCCTCCTCTGAGCATCCTCACCAACCAGCTCTCTCTACATCACGCTTGTTACCACGCTGCCTTCCCAGCACCAAGCTGCATTGTACATCTAATACAACATGTATAAAGAGAGCACATTGTGAGTTTCCTTTCTCCATCCCATCCTGAGTGTGAACCAAACAACCTGAACCCCACACTACCACTGGACCACCAGGATACTAAAAGCAGTATGTATGAAGAAGTCGCGTGCTTTATTGGGCTAATGAAATATATATATATATATATATATATATATATATATATATATATATATATATATATATATATATATATATATATATATATATATATATATATATATATATATATATATATATATATATATATATATATATATATATATATATATATATATATATATATATATATATATATACAGTACAGTCACGTTCAAGATTCTTGGAACACTACTGGAGACAGCTGGCAACTCAAGGCCGTTTGTTTACTATACTACGTAGTATAAATTATGAATGAATGTAAAAGTGATCGGTGATTGGTTACTTAGTTCCCGTTGCTTAATTAATGGTTGGGCTTTGTTGTTTCGCATTATATTATGCCTTTCTGCTAGTATATACTGTTAATTTGATTTTAAAATGGATAGAGCAATGAGCCAACCTATATGAATTTATATTTAGATAAATAAACATAAGTAAAAATCGGTATGTTAAAGAACATCATGCATCGGGCACAGCTGTGTGCAGGCTGTTATGAGGTTGCCTGTTTATCATTAATTTATACTAATATTGTCTTCAAACGTTTAATCCCTTTTGGGTAATTAATCCAGTTGTACTAAACCGATGCTAAACAAAACTTCTTTCTAAAGACGCTGATTTCTTGCAACACAAACTGCTGTTTTATTTAGATGTGTGTGCGTGTGCGCATGTGCAGTGTGTGTGTGTGTGTGTGTGTGTCTGTATTTAATAATGACGTTGTTCAATTAAAGGTGATGGTAATTAATCTTACGAACCATCTGTCTGATGGTGTGAATTAGTACTGTAGCATATGCCTAATAGTTTTACAAGCCATTATCTAGCAGTATCATTGTCATCCCAAGACTATGAATATTGTCACCCCCCCCCCCTAAATCCTTGTTTGACTTGTGGCGATTACGTCACGTATAGTCTGGTGTCTTTAGAAAAAATAGTAATTTTTTTCCAAAAATGTGTATGATGTATTATAAATTTATATCTTATTTATTTATTTATTCGTTTATTTTTTATAAATGCATAATAAATATAAATATAACGCTGACGTTATTGGCGGGAAGGTGGGGAGACAGGTGTCAGTGCTGACTACCCTTCCACTCTTGTGAGACCACACCTGGATTACGCAGTTCAGTTCTGGTCACCGTATTACAGAATGGATATAGAATCCTTGGAAAGAATTCAGAGGAGAATGACAAGACTAATCCCGGGCATTAGAAACCTTGAGTATAGAGACAGGTTAAAGCATCTTAATTTGCACTCCCTTGAGAGACGTAGAGCGAGGGGCGACCTGATAGAGGTGTATAAGTGGAAGGCAGGGCTAAACAAAGGGGACATTACAAAGGTACTCAAACTATCCAACCAGGAGCGAACTCATAACAATGGTTTTAAATTAGACAAATTTAGATTTAGGCGCGAAATAGGTAAACACTGTTTGGTAACAGTAGTGGATGAATGGAACAAGTTACCAAATATCATCATTAACTAGAATACGCTGAATAGCTTCAAACATAGGTTGGATGCTTATATGAGCAATAGGGGTTGGGTGTAAATGGGACTGTCCAGTATGGGCCAATAGGCCCGCTGCAGTTTCCTCCATTCTTATGTTCTTATGATGAAAGTAGACGAGTGACGAATATTTATCTGAGGGAAAAATCACGTGAAATAACTAATTTTCTCTATTTAAGTAATTTATGTATTTTTTTTGAGTAGCAACATTTTTCAGTTGCAAATTTTTACGGTAATACGAGTGAAGAAATAGGACATATTACTATTACCTTAACATTACAAGTGAGCAATATGTAAAGAAAAATCCTTTACACCCGGCAGCGATGTTCAGAGTTTGATAATCTTACTTTACAGATAAACGATTATTAAAGTTCTTTTTCGAGTTTAGTATATTTTGTTGAACACCCAAGTTAATTTCTTTGATGTCTAAGAACTTGTAATAGTTTTAGAAAAATAAATGAAAAGTGTACCACGAATAATTGCTGTGGATAGCTGGATTGTTTGGTGATAATTGAAGTTTTAAAGAGTTAAAAAAAATCACTATTAACTAAAGGGGGCCTCAAGTAGATATCACAGTATGACTGCTGTAGACCGCAAGTACTTATTACACTCTCCATTTAGTACTGCAGTACGACAACCTTATCAGCGACTGCCGGCAGCGCGCGAAGGGAAATCAGTCAGTAATTTCTCAGTGTGGTTGTGTGAGTGTCCAGGTTATCAAGGGTAGTCGGTGGTGGAACGAAACTTGATCAAATAAATCTCGGCCGACTACAGCATTGATCGGTGAGTCAGTGGTAAAACAGGGCTTTTTTCTTTCGAGGATATTTGCTTTTAATATTGATTTTCTACATATTCTTTTTTGCTTCATAAATAATTACACGATACTCGAAATTGCTTGCAAAAAGAAAACTTATTGTATCTACGTCACGTACGTGTTTTTGACGTGGTGAAAAAATCACTTAAGCTGTACAGACTGTTTCTATCTTATTTTTTTAACTATACGATTATAATATATAATTACTGCGTATAAATTTACTTGTGTAAATATTGAAGAATAGCATTACAATCTGCTCAGTTCATGTCTGTAGTTAACATAAATTGTTTATTTTATATTGTTATGCTTCAGTTAACCTTATATTGATAGAAGTGTGCACCTGTGTAGTGACTTCCGCCCCACCCTTTATAATATACTGTATAAGCATGCAAGTGTGTGTGTACGTGTTCATGTGCTCATGCGTGCAAGAGCTACTTTGGTTTGGAAAATAACCTATACGATAATAGATCAGTCACCGACTCGCTGTGTCAGTGTTCCCTGACCTGGGCGAGGTGAACGTTCTTGGTAAATACAGTATTAGACTTTGTTCTGTTTATTTCCTTTGCACTGAAGATGAAGTATGTATGCATAAATTACCCACGAGCGTGGTTTATCTCGTACTAAGGAAGTTGGTAAGGTTGTTAACAATTGGGGTGGGATGGAGGGCTATATGTAAATTTTGGCAGACTTTTACACGATTGTTTGCTGACTTGTGAACCCGTAAACGCTTTTTTTTTATTGAAATGCTAGATGATCCTTTGGCATCAGTTTTGTTATGGTGGTATTTATGGAAACACTTCACAGCAGTGGCACAACCAGCCTATTTGGGCAAATTGACAAAAGCAACGTTAAAGTGTCTGATTTTAGAAGGAATAATGCACTGAAAGATTGGTGGACGGAAAAGTCACATTTTATCTAATAAAACTAGAAATATTTTAAAACAGTTATTAACTGACAATACATGACTTTTACATATTGACAACACAATTTATATATGATGCACGTAGGTTAGGTTAGGTTGGGTTTTTCTCCCTCACGCAAGCGGTGTTTAGCCACTGCACCTATTCTCTCCTCCTAAAATTCACTTCAATCCTCCCTTTATCCTTCCCCTGAACCTCAAAACTATTAACGAATACTGTACGTTGTATTCAAATCTGTTGTCAGCTACATTCCCACCTTCCCCTCTTCCCACACATCCGAAAAATCTTTGATGTTCTCATTGAGTCATTTTTCTGGTAGGTTTGGCCTTTAATGGATGCATTTATTAATTATGATCGTTACTCATCCGGAAATAACATCACATTGATTTCACAACCTTTTCATTGTATCTAATCATTAAGATTCTTTGAGTTAATGACTACTTGCGTATCAGCCGGTATCTTCACCACGCCTATCTTCACTTCCTGGCTTTGATAAGAGGAAAACTCCAGGTACGGTTATAACACTGTTGGCCGGGTGGGCAATCCTTGTTGTTTGCTACGGGCAGGACTGAGTAGGACAAAACAAAATTTCCTAAGTTTTCTTTGAAATCTTGAAACAATTTGATTAAACAGACTTAGCAAAAATATACCGTATATAAACGACCTATTTGTGAAGATAAATAAAGCAGACGACTGAAAAATCGTGAGTAGGGAGGAAGGAGCACAGGTTCTTCCGGGTGTGAGGAGTAAACCGACTGACTGCAGTATACTGTTTTTGGACCGAACTGGAGTGAAGGAGTTTTGGGTAGATGTATACATAAATGGACCTATATGGTACATAGGTAAATACCGAGGTGGATTGAATGTACAAGAAATTAGTTATAATGGACTTGATCACAACGTAACCTAGCCCTAATGTGTCATGTTTTACTGCATTAGAATTAGCCGAAAGTACGATTAATTTACCAAGATGGACTTATAACCCTCCTACATAATAACCCTGACATGAATTGCATGTTTTAGTTCAGGTTGTGTAAACATTTCCATTTTAACATATTTTATGTCAATTCCATTGTATAGGTTTACTCAAATCCTGTTTCTCCATTTGACCAAGCTCCATTTCTTCTCACTATCGGATTTCGGTAAAACAAAAAAGAAAAAAAAAGACGTATATTTCGGTATTTTGATTGTCCGTTTTAATCAATCCCGGGGTATACTCATACCGGCTCCAAGGTACAGTTGCCCCCATTTATAACGGGTACAGTTATTGGCGTGTTTTATGAGATGTGGCACCACCGCCCACCAGACAACAGAAAGAAGCCAATGACGTTCTACTTGGTTAACTATATTATAACTATAATCATGCAGGAAATGCGCCCATTCATAGGTAGAAGGGGGGTGGCAGCTGCTTGTTTAGCATCCCTGCTGTGGTTACTGTAGCGAAGGGAGTTCTGCCCATTCTGCTAGTTTTACTACGATGTAAACAGTGGTGCCATGTCTCGCAAAACACGCCAACCACTGTACTCATTATAAATGGAGGCAACTTTGCTTATGTAACGCGACAACTGTTGCCCGTGAAGATAGGTCCCACACACACGACTATCAGACTGAATTGAAGGAAGTGTGTTCGGTGGGATTACCAAAATATTAGGTTGGAGTACGTCACGGTTCTTGGCTTCTGGTGTTCTTTTGTGAAACCGTATTTTGAAGTATTCAATACAAGAGTTTGCTACTGTATCACCTAGGAGTTTCATGGTATGAAATTTTGTTATAGTTTATTTTTTTGATGGGGAGGGGGGAATTGCCCACCATATTAAATTACTGCTGTTTCATAATGTATTATTGACTATTTTAACTGGAAAGAAGTGGGTTCTCGTTTGATATCTCGAAATACGGGGTTTCCCCAGCTTAAATTTCATTCTCTCTGTCTCTCTCTCTCTCCCTACCCAGTTATCAGCTTACTAGCCGTTTGGGTGGTAGTTGGTCTCCAGGAGGAAACCGGAGTCTGGGAAACCTGTGATATTTGGTAGTGAGGTTCACACTCGAACCCTTAACTTAAACTCGAACGTTTGTGACGTAGCCCAATAAACAAGAAATCCTTCATGCAAACACCAGAATCTCCTCGTGCTCCCTCTATAGATTGATTTTATCTGCTGCCCGAAACTACGTTGTCCGTGCACATCACGTTTTCGTCTTTTCACACGTTGTATGCTCACTGAAGATAACTAACCATGTTCACTCTCAAATATAATTTACTCTATTGTCACTCCCTACTTTAACACACCGTGGTCATGCTAACTTTTAACACCGTGGTCACTCCCCTACCTTTAATTACACTGTGGTCACTCCCCTACCTTTAATTACACCGTGGTCACTCCCCTACCTTTAATTACACCGTGGTCACTCCTTACTCACTTCATCAAAATGCCTAATCCTAGTGTGTGTGTGTGTATATATATTATTTACGTGCTCTCCAAACTTCATTCCCATATTCACGCATTGTTCACGTGTTAACTGAGGACAACGATACCAGTGGGGGTTGGACGAGTTTTAAGTAGGGTCTTCCTCTTGGCTGTGATAGTGGCCTGGGAAGTCACCCGCCTTGTGTATTGCCCCAAACTCATGCTTTCTCAGTTTTATTATCCATGTTGTCTTTCCATATCCTGTTTTTTTGCTCTCTCAGATCTCCTTTGTTATTCCTTCCACCCCTTATATCGCCATTCTTCATATTTTTCACACGTTTATAATTTTTATTTATTCAACCACCCTTACCTATCGTCCTCTCTAAAATCGTTACTTTCCCACATCATTTCTTAATTTCGTCTTACAAAGTTTATCATAATCCAGCATTCTTATTACTCGTCATTTTCGCTTCAGTTTCCATTACAGTACTCGTTTTCATTTCCATGGCCCTACAGTCCTACACCCTAGCTGACCTTATCCCGAGGCACAAGCTGTCAACGTGTCTTGGGAAATGTCATTGTATAAGCTTTACCTAATGAAATATTTACATGGGAAGTATTATATCAGTAGTCAGATTGTGGCTGTTGGATGAGTCACCTCTCCCAGCTTATCATGTTTTGATAACAAGACTTTACCCGCTCTGTCATCCTTCTCTGCTCACCATACAGTGCCGTTGGTTTGCCTCCTTTGAGGTGTTTGGGTGCGTAGTTAGCTCTATGCCCCCGTCCTTGTGTGATGCTGGTGGGCAATATGTGTTTTGTTTTTTCTGTTATCATGGTGGGTCCTGACTGTATAGCACGTCGTATAGCACTGTCATCCTTCCTCACCTCCTCGAGCCTTATTAACCTGTATAGTTGTCCCCCCGGCTGGTACCGTTCACTAGCTCGACCAAACCAAATGACCAGTGTGATGGTAGGGGTTGTTGAGGATGTTTTGCATTTGTTAAAATATTTCACAACTTGAGGCATTGTTTCATATCGACTCCACAGATAGATCTGTTATCTATTGCCACAGTATAGTAATTTCATGATAACGTATTTTATCGAACGTGTACGTGTTCTGGGCACTGTTGGGATTTATTCATTAACGCCTTTGAATAGAGTCATCAAATTACTTATAATGTTCTTACAATTTTTAATTATCGGTGTATTAAGACACCTGTACACGGAAAATTTTACGCAGAACCTGCCATCAGCCAGATTAACTGATTTAACCGACGTCTAGGTCAGTTGGTACTGTTCCTAGAACATTGTTGACCCGACCTTTCTTAATCTTTTAAACGCATTTGTATTCAACACCCGAGTTCCTAGAATCTCCAGCATATGTTTAGTCAACTTTAGTGATTATATATATATATATATATATATATATATATATATATATATATGCTGATAACCACAAGGAAAGAAGAAAACACGAAGTTCCCAAGCGCTTTCGTGTAATTCACATCTTCAGGGGTGAGTACAGACTAGAGAGAGAAATACAAACCAAGGTGTATATATACAGAGGAGGGTGAGACCAGGTCCACAATGGTCAGGTATTAGGTAATGACCCTACTAATCTTTAAATAGCACACAACGGTTGGTGGTCAGGTCAGACTAGATTCTATGATGTTCCTACTATCAATTGAATTACAAGGTAATATTGAGGAGGCATTATCCTGAGTCAATGCAATGCTTGTTATCCCTCAAATGAACAAACAGAGCATTGGATTCCTGGCCTGTCCTAACACTGTATTTGTGTTGTTTAATTCTAGTTGCAAGATCTTTACCTGTCTGGCCTAAGTAAAACATATTACATTCCTTGGTAAGGAACTTTATAAATGCAACCAATTGTGTTGTTGGGGGAGTTCTTGATTAACATTTGTTTAACAGTGCATGAGTTTTTAAATGCCACATTGACGTTCCAGGTGACTCATCCGTGTTTTCTTCTTTCCTTGTGGTTATCAGCATATACCTAGATCACGCGCACCTACAGTGATTTACTTGTATATATATATATATATATATATATATATATATATATATATATATATATATATATATATATATATATATATATATATATATATATATATATTTTATCTACTTCCTCAGTGACGGTGCTCGTAACAAGAAAGATCTGCTTTTACACCGCCCTCCATGGCGTTATTATCGTGGAGGATAAGATAAGGTATTATATTTCCCTCCCCTCCTCATACCCTGGAGGGGGGGTTAGAGACCAGTATTTATGACAGCTGTAATGAGGTTATCGCTGACCAGGGGAGGGGAGAGTTGATCTACCCTTCCCGTGTTGAATTGAATTGTAACAGTTTATTTAGCCAGAAAAACACAGATGCAGAGTGGATAATAATAACAATATTAACATGGCTGAGCCAGTTGAGAACCTGAGCCCTCTTTGAGGCACCTGATATATACTATACATTTATCTCAAGGAAGTATTATGTAACATTTAGTATCATCTGGAATAGTACAATAGCATGGTGGTAATAAGTACATCTCATAGTGGTACCACGGTTATCACTGCCCTTCAAAGTACTTCTCCACCTACGACGGTATGAAACAGGTAACAAGTCAAATAAGCTCCAACCTAATTTAACCTTTAGTATTGTATCTCGATCCTAATGATTTGTTTGTTTCAGTTGGGATCCGTCTCACCAATCACCTAAAATGGAGACGAAATACTGTAGTTCAATCCAATCTTCTTTGCTCATAGTCATTATGCTTGTAAAGTTGGATCCATTGCAGTCAGCTGGGCGTATCCAGACATAAGAGACCCGCAGTGCTAGACTTTTGTAATCTTAATAAGGTGTTATATCGCTCACTTACTTTCCACGTCAGTGTGTAATGGTCCTGCGTGATCCTGTAATGCTGATTGGATTAATTTCTCTGTCTCTCTCTTATGGTGTATTGCCTCTCCCTATGACCTCTGACTCGACATCTCTCCCCTTCTACCTCCCTCTCTCTGTCTTGCTGCACCGCCCCACTAGACTTTCCCCTCTCTCCACCGGCCTCCCTCTCCCCTCCCCACCTACCTTCGACTCCCCTTACCTTCTCTTTACTTTTCCCTTCTCCTTTTATCTTCTCTTCTTTTCTCTCACCTTCCCTTCTCATCCTTCGTAACCCTTCCTTCTCCCTCTTCCTAACCCCTCTCTTTTTACCCTCCCTTCAGCCTGGCATGGCAGGGTCTGTGCAAGTCTGCGGGGCTGGGGGGATTATTGCTATGTAATGGACACTTTTAATCTCCTGCCTCCTGTGATGTCACTAGTTTTGGTGTGTGTGTGTTTTATGAGTGGTCTTTTGCCTTTCAGGGTGCTTATGTGATTGTCTTTGTTATTTAAATTCAACAACATACCAAACCAGGAAACGAGACTGTCCCACGTAGGGTAAATAGCTACTTAACTAGGCCTATCTAACTATTATTCGCAATGACGTCACAGTGTTTTTACAACCGGATATGGTAACTAGTTCTCCTGTATTGAGTTTTATGTAAACTACTATAAAATTCGGAAATACAGATCAAATAGCTGCGATACTTCATATACTGTACAAAGGCTTATCATTCGGATTATGGAAAGAGGGGAAAATATCGTAACCCAGTACCAGTGTCCAGCATAAATGATGACAGGTAAAGTAAAAACAGTCAGAAATATAACACAGTGAAACAAGATTACTCACCACACGGGAATTGTATGATTAATAACCATTGATTTGTACGTTTGTCTGTCTGTCCATGTGTATTTCGATCCTGCCAAGGTTTTTCAGCAGAGACAACAAAAGTATTCAGTTTAGAGGAATGAAAATTTGTAGGTTCCTCAATAGTTTATACACTGTACATACAAACATGAATGAAGGAAACTCCAACGGGCCCTGTTTACACCCAACCCATATCACTCGTATATCTGCCCAACTTATATTTGAAATTGCCCAGAGTTCGAGTTAATGATGGTGTTTGATAATTTGTTCAGCTCAACCAACTTTTCCCGCCTGAATCTAAGTTTGTCTAATTTAAAACCATTGCTTCGTGTTCGCTTCTGATTTGATATTAACCAAGGCATCCATTTCTACACTGGGATCACATCGTCCCTCACTCTACGTCTCCCAAGAGAATGTAAATTTAGATTTTAATCTGTCTTTGTGTTGAAGGTTTTTGATGCCCGGGATTTACTTCGTCATCCTCCTCTGATGCTTCTTAGGTAATACTGTAAATATCCATTCTATACATTAGTATGGTAACCTAAACTGAACCTCATAATCCAAGCGCTGTCTCCTTTTATTAACGCTTCTGTAATATGAGTCACAGTATACTTTGTTAACCATAAACGCATTGCTGTCTAGGTTTTAGGCCTCTCCTTTTCATTACGCCTATTTTTTTTCGCAATTGGATTTCTCTATCTACGTCGTTCAGCTGATGACGGATTCCCCCGTTCCCCTCCTCCCCCTAGCCTTTTTCAGTCCATATTACAATTTTCCTCTCATCAGATTTAATTATGCGCCCTGTTTTGTATCGTCAGCAAATTTACTAATTTTGCTGTTAACGCTTGATATTTGTTTTAGTGGGGAATATCCTAGGTATTTTAAGTCAAGTATTTTATTTTTTTATTTTCTTTGTTTTATTTGAAAACGACAAGAGATGTTCTCACTGCTAGAGCCACGACACAAACCGACAATAGTATGACGGTAAATCCAGATTATTATACCGTATACGATTTCGGCAAGGGATTTCCCCTCCTACTCCACGACAGGTTTCCAAATCTGGATACAATACCTGGGGAGTGAGTACTCATGGAGGGTTTACCTTGTAGTCTGAATCCAATTTGGTGATATAATTTTTTTTATATCTGGCCTTAGGCTAAACAGTTGTATATATATATATATATATATATACGGGATTAGCCCACCTGGGCACACGTCACTGACCCACATTGGGGCCTAGGGAAAATGTATATATATATATATATATATATATATATATATATATATATATATATATATATATATATATATATATATATATATATATATATCAGTGGATCTAAAACGAGATTCTTGGTAATTTGGGTTAATTTGTATGTGAAAGGTTGGAGCACGTTTTACCTCACCCTGGTGTTATTTCTCCATCTTATTGGTTGAAGTAAGATAAGTCAGAAACCAACCCTCCATACATACACACCGCATGTCAGAGCAAAGGTTTTTTTATATCACCGTTTCCAGAAAACCCCAAGTCAGAGTCAGGCTTTTCAGTCAGTCTCAGCAACCCGCGAGAAGTAAACTTTTACTCCAGAAGGAGGCGCTTGTCCCATAAACACAACACTATGTCAACCACCACGGAAACTTCACAGAACTACAGTAGTGTACAGGTAAGCTGGCGGGCTCTGTTTTGTCTCAGGGGCTGAGGCCTCGTATGCGGTCTAGAGTTTCGTACCTGTTGTATTTCTGGTCAGTCGGTTTAAAAAGTTTTATGCAGAATTGTAGTATTTTGGCAATTTAATTTTTTCTATAAAGTTATTATGCATTAGCTGATTTTACTGTAAATAAATGATGATAAAACAAAAATACGCGTATATTGGGTAGGTGAAACTATACACTGCTTCCACTGATCTGCCCCCCCCCCCCCTCCACTGGTGTATACAAGACTGCATGTTGGTGTTGGGCAGGTCATGGTGTTTAGCTGAAGGTATTAGCCTCACTCGAACACTTTAAGTGCTTAACCTCTTTCTTACCTTTCATCGGGACGGGTGGTGGCGGTGCTCTGAGTTCAATTTTATGACCATGGAATATGGATTCGAGCCTTGCAATTCACACATTGGTAGCATTTGGAAATCCCGTACAATCATATTTTTGTGCATGTAAAACTATTGCTACGTATCATAATGAATGTATTTGTTCGTTTGTGTGTTTTACTGTGAACGTTTAACTGCCCAACTCTAACTTAAGGAAACCCCTTGACCCAGAAACTGTAATCTCCGTGATCATAAATCTGAGACTATTTTTTGAACTTTGTTTATATCTAAAACTTTTTATTTTACCAAATCAAAACTAAAATAGTATCACTTCTCTTTTTGTTTTTTGGTCATCTTCTCATAAATAATATATATGCAAGTAAATCACTGTAGGTGCGCGTGATCTAGGTATATGCTGATAACCACAAGGAAAGAAGAAAACACGAAGTTCACAAGCGCTTTCGTGTAATTCACATCTTCAGGGGTGGGTACAGACTAAAGAGAAGTACAAAACAAGGTGTATATATACAGAGGAGGGTGAGATCAGGTCCACAATGGTCAGGTATTAGGTAATGACCCTACTAATCTTTAAATAGCCTCGCAACGGTCGGTAGTCAGGTCAGAGGGTAAGGTGACCCAACCTTCTCACCTGGTTACAAATCTTCTTAATTACAAAATTGTCCAGTTTGTACATGCCATTACTCAAATTCATATTGAATGCTTCGGTATGCTTAATGAGACTAGATTCTATGATGTTACTACTATCAATTAAATTACAAGGTAATATTGAGGAGGCATTATCCCAGTCAATGCAATGCTTATTATCCCTCAAATGAACAAACAGAGCATTGGATTCTTGGCCTGTCCTAACACTATATTTATGTTGTTTAAGTCAAGTTACAAGATCTTTACCTGTCTGGCCTAAGTAAAACATATTACATTCCTTGCAAGGAACTGGCATAATGCCTCCTCAATATTACTTAAATAAATACAAACGAGTGTTATGAGAAATTATTGGAAGAAGCGGATAGTTTCTTTCATTAGCGTTTAGATACAGTCTCAGAACTATAAAGATCGGTTTGCGTAAAAATCTAATATTTTGTCACTTTAAACGGCAAACACTTGTATTTAGTGAAGATGGGATATTATTTATCAGTTTAATCATATCCAATGCTTTGATTCATATAAGAAATAATATTTGAACTTATGAAGGGTAGAGCATGACCCCGACACACACGCGCCTATAATACCCGAGGAACGTGTCTGAGAAGGTGTAAGTATGATCGCTACAGGGACATCACTTATATTTTATTTGAGTAACGCTAGACGATTTGATTCAGCTCAGAGGCGACACCGTGCACAAGGGGTTAGTAGACTGTCACCACTAAGAAAATTGCTGTCCACGAACAAAAACAGAATCAGTAGATATTCATTGCGACCTAAACGAAAAATAAACTTAACTCATAATTATGTTTACAAAAGACTGTCTTATTCAAACGACAATAAGACATTTGTGAGAAAGATGACTTTTCATACACGGACAGGAAACAGTAAATGTAGTAAATAAAATTACCATGATAACGTGACCAGTGAACAACACAGAACAAACAATAGTAACTGGTTATATGAACCAACCTATCCTTAATGGTTGAGGCCCTGCCCTAGTGGACCCCAAACCCATTCATTAGTCTTTGGGCGTCATAGGACTAGGGCCCGTTTGGTTAGCAAGTACAGAAACAACATTGTATTTGTACACAACATGGATTCCATACTGTGTCTCCTGGGAGTGTCAGGCCCCCGGTGCTAGCCACACTTAGTCAATAGTTTCCCCACGCGAGCTGTACTTTAATTTTCATTTTCCACGCCATGTATAATACTTAATGCACAAGCGGTTGGGGGAAGGCTGCTTGATTATCACTCCTTGGTTTCCTGAGTAATTTTAAAACTTTCGAAGAACTTACGGTAAATCTTTAAGGGGACTGAGATAGTGAAGGCGGGAGGGAAGCACTATATTGCAGAAAAATGCTGATACTTGACAGAGTGACGTGGCCAGCCGACTATAACGAACATTATAATGACTATACCTTTAGTAGGCGCCTGGTCAGTATCACGCTGAATAAAAAAGTAACGCATGGTTACAATAGACAACATTAAGGTATCAAATGTACTCCTTAAAGAACAGTGTTCACAAGGTAGGCCTACTGTGTATAAACAAGCGTGACTTTCGTGATCAAACACTTATCCGATATGACTCACTCTCTTGGGAGCTTCCCTCTAAGGAAGTGGCCGGGATAGAAGAGCTGAAAAAGGTCGCCCTATCACTCCTAATATATTTGCTTTCTCTGTTTCCCTTATCGTATTCCCACTTTCTTGCCTTAATGGTTTGTTTCACCTTTCTTTCCCACTAACTTCACTATTACATTTCCTCTGTTCGCCCTCTTCACTTCTCGGCCTATGGAACGAGCTAAAATTATTTGGTCATACACTGTGTGTATAGTTTGATATGGCTAAATGTTTTAATGTTATAAATTTCACGTGACTTACCAGTTCATTCATGTTGAAGGTATTTATTTTCTTGAGTTTCCTGCGATACTTATGTCCAGTTCTCGTAATGTATAATAACATTGTGTTATCGTGCTGTGAAAGACTAAACTTGAGATATGACATGATAACCAACGTTCCTTCCAGAAGGCCGGTTTGGTTCTACCGCAACACGCGCGACCGCAACTTTGGTATAACGAACCCAAGCCTAGATTACGTTTACTGTCGGGTGCTTACAAGAAGTCACGTCTGCTGTTTATTGTAAAGACCGTTACGGGTGGGCGTGTTTGTGGTGGGAGGAGATGGTCTGTCCAAATCTCGCACCAGAGAGGCAACACACTTGAACCAACAACATGTGCGATAGTTTAAGAGCAGCAACGAGCCCCAAACCGGTTGTCATCCACACGTCCGCGACCCGTGATTCTAATCTTTACTTTATTCTCCCTTAATCCTATTAACTGGTGGCGGGATTTGTTAAGCCTGTGTCTCTTACCCCCTCAGGTGGTGACTGGACTATGAACAAATAACGCACCGAAACGCCCGCCTCCATAATGACAGAAAACGGAGGATATCCGGTTCCCCCAACCACAGAGAATGGTGAGGGGGCTGCCGACCAGGATTACAAGGCACTTTACTTCCAGGAGGTGGAGAAGAGGAAGACCCTTATGAAGCTCGCACAGAAAGGTCAGTTTACCATGCTGTTCTTATAGTTTGCATCTCATACTAAGCATCTCTGTAACTCACAGTACTGGTATAGTATATGGTTGAATTATGATTCTTTTCCTCTTGTAATGTTTTCATGGTGTTGCTGTCTTCTGTGTTCTCTGTTAAGGTGTGCCTCTCTCTCTCTCTCTCTCTCTCTCTCTCTCTCTCTCTCTCTCTCTCTCTCCCGCTGAGAGAAATGTATTGAAAGTAAGACGCACATGACTAAAGTACTGCCTCTTTGTTTTTTACGAGTAATGGAGATGTAGCGGTGGTTGATAAAACAGGTAGTGTGGCAGCAAAACCAGCTCGTAACTGTGGCCGAGGGAGGGAGGGTATTGTAATATATTAATTTTGTTTCGTAAAATAAATATTGTGTAATCATTTTCAGGTACAGTACAGTACGTGCTTTTATATTGAATGTGGGATTCCTTCACGTAAGAAAAAAATATATGTAATTGTATATTAATATTGTTTTTCATTTTCTTAGAGAACGAAATATGGTGTACAGTACAGTACTCTACTGATAGTGAGTGCATTGTACAGTAAACGCGGGATTTATTGTGATGTATATCCATAAAACATTGATCCTTCTTTTACCTATAAAACTTGATTGTATGATACACTTATTAGTAGTGTTTTTAGTGGTAATTAAAATTTACTGATATGATAAATTAATGCCGTGGTTATCAGTTTCTGATTATCAAGACCGTAGTTTAAATATACATTGCGTGTGGAAAAAAACACGTGTCTTTTTATTAGCATTGATATTGCATTTATTATAACACTGGGTATAATATACACTGATAAATATAGTGTTAGGTTGAGATTTACACTATATGATGATGGTATTACTGTGATGGCAACAGTGTTTGATTATTATAACCATAATTTTTATATACCGGTTGCTGTATTATGTGAAAATATATACGCGTTTAATTATGGCACGAGGTATATTATACAAGGAAAAACTAGTACGGTGATGGTAGTTACATTCTACTGATAATAAATCCACTGTGATGGTAATAATATTGACTAGTAATTTAAGCGTATTGTAAAATCAATATACCCAAGACAGGAGTTGAACCCTTAAGTCTCGAGTCATATGATATTGTCACGCTCCAAGTTGTCTGACGCAGAGTGGGTGCCATGCGTGGAGTGAGAGGCACTAACACACACCCAAGGCTCCTGGTAGTCGTTGTTGTAGGGTAGCCTATGGTGGGGCGGCGGTAGGGTGTAACAGCGTGTGATACCGGTACCTGCACTTACTTTTTTTATTTTGTTTCACTTTGACGTCATGTGGAGAGCCGTCCCCCACACAGTGTAAGAGGGCCATCCCCCACTCACTGTAAGAGGGCCATCCCCATTCATTGTAAGAGGGCCATTACCCACTCACTGTAAGAGGGCCATTCCCCACTCACTGTAAGAGGGCCATCCCCACTCACTGTAAGAGGGCCATTACTCACTCACTGTAAGAGGGCCATTACCCACTCACTGTAAGAGGGCCATTCCCCACTCACTGTAAGAGGGCCATCCCCACTCACTGTAAGAGGGCCATTACTCACTCACTGTAAGAGGGCCATTACCCACTCACTGTAAGAGGGCCATTGCCCACTCACTGTAAGAGGGCCATTACTCACTCACTGTAAGAGGGCTCCGCCGTTCACTGTAAGAGGGCCACCCCTATGCACTCACTAAGAGGGCCATCCCCCCAGGCACTCACGGTAAGAGGGCCATCTCCCTTTCACTGTAAGAGAGCCATCCCCCCTCTCACTGTAAGAGAGCCATCCCCAGGCACTCGCTGTAAGAGGGCCATCCCCAGGCACTCACTGTAAGAGGGCCACCCCCTATGCACTCACTGTAAGATGGCCATCCCCCCAGGCACTCACTGTAAGAGGGCCAGCCCTCTCATCAGACGTCATTAGAGACGGACAGGATAGCCCGGGTGTCGACGGCTCGCGGTTGGAGGATGAAGGTTTGATTTCGTATGTACCGTTGTGAGTCAGGCGGTGGTCCAAACCTGCCTCTGGCCTGCTGTTGTTACTGTACCGTTGTGAGTCAGGCGGTGGTCCAAACCTGCCTCTGGCCTGCTGTTGTTACTGTACCGTTGTGAGTCAGGCGGTGGTCCAAACCTGCCTCTGGCCTGCTGTTGTTACTGTACCGTTGTGAGTCAGGCGGTGGTCCCTGCCTCTGCCTGCTGTTGTTACCTGCAGGCGGTCTGGGCCTGCTGTTGTTACTGTACCGTTGTGAGTCAGGCGGTGGTCCAAACCTGCCTCTGGCCTGCTGTTGTTACTGTACCGTTGTGAGTCAGGCGGTGGTCCAAACCTGCCTCTGGCCTGCTGTTGTTACTGTACCGTTGTGAGTCAGGCGGTGGTCCAAACCTGCCTCTGGCCTGCTGTTGTTACTGTACCGTTGTGAGTCAGGCGGTGGTCCAAACCTGCCTCTGGCCTGCTGTTGTTACTGTACCGTTGTGAGTCAGGCGGTGGTCCAAACCTGCCTCTGGCCTGCTGTTGTTACTGTACCGTTGTGAGTCAGGCGGTGGTCCAAACCTGCCTCTGGCCTGCTGTTGTTACTGTACCGTTGTGAGTCAGGCGGTGGTCCAAACCTGCCTCTGGCCTGCTGTTGTTACTGTACCGTTGTGAGTCAGGCGGTGGTCCAAACCTGCCTCTGGCCTGCTGTTGTTACTGTACCGTTGTGAGTCAGGCGGTGGTCCAAACCTGCCTCTGGCCTGCTGTTGTTACTGTATTATTCGTCATTTCTTGCTTCGATAATACCCTTGTACTTTTATTATTATTATTATGGCTGTGTCACTTACTATATAATTGTATCTGTCTAACTTTCAGTACCTGTGTATGTTAGCATGTGGATAAAGGTATCTCTGTCTTTCTCTGCCTGTGTGTGTGTGTGTGTGTGTGGGTGTGTGTGTGTGTGTGTGTGTGTGTGTGTGTTTTGTGTGGCCGTTGCGTGTAGGTGTGGGTGTATTTCTGAGTTGCATGTACCTGTACGTGTACTTTTGTGCATGTTGGTGTTACGTGTTTATTTTGCATATGCTTTTACTTGTGTGTATTTTATATGTGCTTTTACTTGTGTTTGTGAGTGTGTGTCTCGTAGTCCTCCTCAAGGAAAGAAATTATTCATGGGTAAGTGGCGCCACCCACGTTTCTCTTATTGATTGCACCACGCTGTTTTTTTGCACGTCACCGGAACACAAACAAACAAACAAACATACATACATACATACATACATACATACATAACACACCTAATTAAACAAAATTGAAGACAAATCTCCTGGAAACGTCTGAAATAAGGGAATTTTTTGATGCGGTTGTATAAACACACAATAATCTGTTCTGTTGTCGCCACTTGGTTAGGTGTTTGTCTCTTGGTGTAAGGAATTGGTATACGGTGTGGAAATTATCTCAGAGGAAGGCTAAGAGGGAGTATTTCTTAATAACACTGTTTAGAATAACATACTGGATGTGTTGAGGGAATGTTGATAATACAGTCAAATGTTGAGGTTTAGATCTGTAAATGAGGAAAATGTTGGATCTCGGTTTAGAAGCGAAATTAAGATATTTAGTACCGAGATAATTGTTTATAACGATGGCGACTAAGAATTTTTCATTGATTGTTTGAGCCTCTTAGAATACAGAACTCCCTCAAACGGGAACAAGTTTTGTCAGGTCAGGACGTCGGCTGGCTGGAGGAGCAAATTGTTGCTCATATACTTGGACCTTGAGTGAGGATGAACTGTAGCCGCTGGCCACCAAGAGCCCTGCTGGTTATTCATTATGTACGAGGGTTGCAATGTGGGCGTTATTCATCATACACTGAGTTTACTACACACACCTGGGAGACTACCACGCCTTTAAGGGCTTTAAGTTACGGCTCCCGGGTACTGCAGTTGCGTACAGTATGTGGGTCTGCGGTGCCACCATTTTTATAATAACATGGGCGACTGGTTGAATGAGCCCCGCCCTAGTCTAGCTACTATGACCAACTTATCCCACAGGGCCCACCTTCATGAGCCCCATTCCAAATTAATAGGTTATATTAAGCTCCAGTTGGACTGCGGCCCATTTTTTCGGCAACCACAGGATTTATTGATGTGCATTAAATACAAACCTTACAACCCAACTTCCACACAGTATGTTGTATGTCCATGAACCACGAATCATACATCTGCATAGTACTGTACCTGGAGCCCCAAGTACAGTGTGTGGGGTCATGCGGTACATCACCCTCCCTTAAGATAACACCTACGAGCGTCACGAGTCTTAATGTTCCCAGATTCCCAAATTGAAATAAATTAAAGTACAACTTCGGAAGCTACAAAAACATCTTACTTGCTAAATTACTTTAAATATAAGTACAGTACTGTGCTAATACAAGGAGATATATTAACATGGCCTCTATACACAGGACTTGTGGTATTTCAATTACGCTTTCTATGAAAAAAATTATGTAAAAATATCCCGAGGAGGACGTCACTTGGGCGAAGGTGAAACAAATAATCGAGGATCCAAATATAGTAAGCTTATATTATTACCCCTTCAGTGAGTACAGGTACTGATCGCTCTCCAAAGACAATACACTTAACATCCTCCCGGGGCCAATAGGCGTACATTAACCCCCCCCTGCTTGGTGCCTGTTGGTGAGGCTGCCGCTGAGTTGTGAGCGAGTAGCGAGCAAGCGAGTATCCTCCACAATATCCGTTCTTGCCTGCTTCTGCCTAACGAGCCGCTCACCTTCAATGTCTGGGTTACTGGGACTCTCACGCCCTGTACCCTCACTTGATCCTGGGCCCTCACCTGGTGTTGGGCCCTCATCTGGTGTTGGGCCCTCACCTGGTGTTGGCTTCTCTAGGACCTCACTTGGTGTTGCAGTTACTCTAAGGACTCACCTGGTGTTGGGCCCTCACCTGGTGTTGGCAGCCCATGATGGAATGAATACCACAAAATGAGTTAAGTGTCATAGCT